GAAGAGGAAGCGGCCTCAGATGAAGAAACTGGCTCAGAAGAGGAAGCGGCCTCAGATGAAGAAACTGGCTCAGAAGAGGAAGCGGCCTCAGATGAGGAAACTGGCTCAGAAGAGGAAGCGGCCTCAGATGAGGAAACTGGCTCGGACGAGGAAGCCGGTTCGGAAGATGACTCGGAGCTGAGAGAGCATGTCGTGGACGTAACAGTGATCGTGGAGGTGATCTCACTTTCAGAGGCGCTAGAGGCAAGCACAGAAGAAGGTATAACCGAACTGGAGGAGCAAGTTGTAGAAGTAACCATGATGGTAGATGTCACCACACTCGCAGAACAAGTGGTAGAGGTGATGAGGATGGTCGAGGTGACGACGCTGGGGTTAGAGGAACCCGAAAGGGCTCTCTTTTCCACGTCATAGTAAATTGGAGCGATGGTAGTCTCGGCAGTAGCGACATCAACAAGGACAGCCTGCGCTCCATTGACTGGAGCACCAGCAGACGCTGTAATATTGGATGCGACCAAGCCGATCCCCACGAGAAAAGTACTCAAAGAGCGTCTTGAGAGTAACATTCTGGACTGAGGTCTGGTCAGAGCTTAAGAATACCTAGTGTTTGAACTGGCTTTGGGATGGTTATTTCAAACGAACGGTACTAAGGTTTGTTCCGGACAACGATAGGTAATCGAAGATTTAGATAAGTCCCGTTAGAGCGTGCAACTGTAGGTGTGGTTCTTAAATGGCCAAAAGGTGAAGAGGATAAAGAAGCCGACGCGAAGCGGGTGGAAGGGCGGACGGTTTTATTCTAGCTTGCCCTCTTCTGATGAAAACATCAAACCCATTGCTAGGTACAACACGCGAGACCGCGTGGCTAGAACAGGGAACCAGTTAGCGATAGATCTGCGGTCTGTTGCTGCACCGGGGGGTACTGAAACTGTTTAATCCATGGCAAAAACCTTAGGTCACTAGGGCATCCTTGCCCATGTAAGCATAGAGGGTAGCACAGATTTGTACATGACAGTAGGGATTAACAATCAGAATGATCGTCGTCTAAGGAACGATCGTGGCACATATTTAGGCCCATTCATGTAGTCATCTGTGCAGGACTTCAGATTCAGGCTCATCTTGCCTATATTATGTGCAGGATATTTCATTAGCGCCCAGCTTATGGCTGCGTCTCTGCAGGACTTGGTTGCAGTGAAATTGTTGCCCTGGTTAACGGTGGTACCCTGCTGAGGCGGTCTAATGCGAAATCCCGCGCAGGCCAGGAGCAGAAGGAAGGTAGTAGAGAGAGAGAGAAAGAAAGAGGGAGTCTGTAATTATGGAAACTCGTAAGTAATTGGTAGACTACTGCGCACCTTAGCGTCGAGGCGAGATAAAGTGATCCCTGCAACGTTGAATACTCTAGTTCGATAAATACATGAAAGAGACTCAATAGGATCACCCTGGAGGCTGGGTCTATTGTAAGTGCATTGGTTCACAGTAAATGGCTGCGGTCGAAGTCTCAGAACAAACCACACTGCTTGAATCTCCGGCATCTTTTGACCCAAGCCGCTAATCCCCGTATGCCTGATCCTTGGTACCTCTAGTTGCATTAGCTTGCAGGGATTACTCTGCACCTGGTCGTATGCGCAAGCCAGCGTCACCTCATCTCTTCCCTTGCTGGAATACACTTTCACCGGGATAAAGTTAGTGGAGCCTAGGAGGTGTTACCGCCTCTACCCTCACGTCTAACCCCCCGGATGGAGATGTGTAAAGCTACACTTGATTGCTAGCCTTCGTAAATAACCTTTCAGGATTTGAAATTTGGCCAATTTAGGGCACTAGTTATACTTGGTTGTCACCCCCGATCCAGGCCATAACGGATAACATGCAAATTGACGCTGGCAAAAAGCCCAGAAAGGAAAAGGAGGTAAGAGTCTGGGCCGCTAATACGTATTTCGTAGAGTGCGTGTACTCGGCGATCTTGGGCCTGATGCACTTTGAGCGTCACAATCACACCTGTATTCCCCCATCCAAGCTGACAACTTCCCGGGTTTAAAAAAGGTGCATCTCTCCTGAGGAGGTGTCGCGTTGGCGAGGAAGGGTGACGTTCTTATCTGTAGATCCTAACGAAAAATACAACGAAGTTGAAGGAATCTACTCTAGTCTGTATAAAGCCAGCAGTATTATTGGCGAGGCCTAGCGACTAAACCTTGTTTCCCGTTATCACTGTAGCTCTTTTGCGTCACTAGTCACGTCTTTCCAGTGGGTATGTAAACCTGGCAAGAATTCATGTCATTGGGCAAATTCCAACTCTGGGACTTAGAACTCAGATATTGCATATTTCGTATTTCATCGGAGAAGCTTTGGCCTGATATGTTCAGGGTTTATTGATTGCTAGACACCTATATGAGTAGTGCGGCTAGTGCAGGCATCGGCCTCGCGCCGAAATTTTACAACCCTGTTGTGTACCGGGATTAAAGTGTAAATGGGGAGACTGCGGGGATCGAACTACTGCAGCTACGTATATATCTAGAACTGCGGCATACGCCTGGCGATACTAGCTTTCAGGGTATAATACTAGCACTGCCACTTTGTCTGTCAATACTATTCGAGGACCGCGCTCCGATGTCACGTAGAATTCTCGTTTTCTACTGCACGACGAGATAGATAACTGTAGACAATACGCGTCTGTATTTCTTTTTCCACTGACAATATTCCTACGCTTCAAGCTTTTGTCTTATATAGATGAGGGTAAACCCTAAACAGCAGCCAGGATTATGAATCCATGCATCTACTAGATCTCCGATGGAGATGCCTAAACTTTATGGTAACGTGGGTCTGCGAACTCACCATGTCAATCTGCTGGGGAACTGTTGGATGAGTACTCACAATGAGCAACCTGTTAGCCCGCTGCATATCTCTGATGAGAAGACCCAGAGATTTGGTGGGACCAACCACACCTGATAATGTGATCTACGCCAGCCGGGAATTCGTGGAGGGTTAAATATTGTAATATATCACACCCTAGGGCATTTACCAGGATCGTCGACAGTATTGCGTACAGCCTTGGGTGATCGCTCTCGATGAAGGCTATTGGCAGACGTATCCGCTGTAGCAAGGTCCCAGGTTATATCTAGCAAGCTCTGTTCAGTAGAAAAACGGCACATCGATGACATCCCTTGGGGTAGACCCAATTAGGCGTAAACGCTTTTCCCAGTTCATGTTTTATATCAACGAAAGAAATTCTGGAAACACTTGAATTGCTTAATGATTCAATTGCCACTGGATTCGAGATGTCAAAATGAACTTAAACCCTACGCGTGCAGCAAAAAATATAGCTGCTGTATCGGAGCTATTACCTCTGAACGGGTGAAACTTAATTAGCGCGAATACTGGTTTACAGGATAAAACTGTTAATGGGTATCTTCTTTCATTACCAGGGAGGTGGCACTTCCTTGCTACACTATAGGATCCAATTATGACTGGTAGAGAGGTATAGACGCGAAGACAGAGTTGTTCTCGCACTACCCCAGCTTTCCAAACCATCAACTCCAGAGTGGTTCTAATGATACCTCCTCTGTACTGTCTTACAACGATGCATTAATCTCTCGAAACAGTTACTAGGATTTAGGAGTACACTCCAAATCCCAAATAGCTAAAGGAAATGTTTTCGCTGTGCCAAGACGTTGGAAAATATAGGCTATAAGGATCACCATAGGGGGGGGCTAAAAATATGAGATTCCTTCCGCAGCTTTCATGCCTGTACATGCTTTTATTTCGTAAGCCAATGTTCAAATTTCTAGGCGCGCAGAGATTCCGCTGGAAGTAAGTGTCACCTTACGAAAAACATGCATTCCGTGCAGTTATATGTGCCAGATGTCGCTTATACAATCACACGTCAGCAAAAATGTAACTGAAATAAGCCAGCGCCCGATATTTGCGAATCTGACTATACATGCATAGCAAATTCCGCTCCAGTTTCATCCATTACGTGATTACTCACGAATATACACCTTGCATAGCCAAAAAAAATACTGTATTCACATAGATTGCAGGTTCTCCATGTGCCCTTGCCAAGCGTATGTAGAATTTATGAGCATACTTATGCCAAAAATTTATATTTTGACCAAACTTTTGAAAATAACTATGTTTTACGGTTAAAATATAGAGGCATATATTTCTGCAAGTATTTCCCTGAATATTTATTTAACTATATAATGAATAATATATTTATTTAACTATATAGTAAATTATATACTTACAATAGAGAAAATTACCTATACCCAAATTTATAGACAATACTAGTAAGCTCTTATCCCCAATCCTTTAAACCATACACTATCTACCAATAAAGACTAATAACCCTCGTTTGGGAATACCCTATACGAGTACAACGGGGTCTGACAGCACAGGGAGTAATACTCTGTATGTGCCTATAAATGGATATAGAAGTTGGAAAATATGACACTATGGTAAATGCAGGATAGCATACGGGCGTAGAACTTTTGGTTATAACATTCTAAAGCTGAATGCCCTTCTGGAAGAGAATTGTATGAAGGACGCAGGAAAACACTAATATAAGTTGTGTTGTGTGGACATTACAGCATGCGTGCAGGGTACAGAAAACAATCACAGACACCCTCTTGCTCCCTTAACCACTTGGAATTACGTTACTTCATTGATTTGAACCGGTGAATCGGATGAGTGTGTGTATTCAGGCCCCAGCGGGACACTATCAGCAGTTATTTTTTCTTTCTAAAGCGAAATTCCTCTCGCATTCTTTCCTACTGAATCAAATAAGAAGGCTGGGCTAACTGACTTTTCGTATGACACCCCTATTCTGCTGTATAACGAATGCAAACATGTGATGCAGATGAAACTTCTGGAAGGTCCTGTATATGCAACGTAGTATGCCTTCTAGATACAGTCTACAGAGGGCTGTCCAGGTGCGTTCAAGCGAGGCGGTTAGCTGCATAAGATGTTGACGCAAACGTACCCAAGACTTTTATTTTCATTTTCCGATAACTGAATCTCGCTGGCGCACTGAATGACTAGTGAACATGCTATTATGAGACTGGAAAGTGTATTCGGCTTCGGTATAGCCGCCTCAGCACTAAAACAGATATGGGTCTATGAACAATATAGCGCACCAGATCTAAACCGTTCCACATACATATGCAGTGTACAGACCAAGGTCTCTCGTCGACACCCTACTTCAGTACCCCGCTGGCTATTATAGGCTAACGCGTACCGTCTATAGTCACGTATCTGCTATTTTGAATGGTGCGGCATAAAATTTTTTTCTTTAGATTTTTGGACTCCTTAACGCCACCACTCGGAGACCGAGATTTAGGCATGGTGATGTCACCATTTACTGCCTGAATAGGCTAGCGGGTTTTCCAATTTCAATGTTTGGAGCTTCCAAAATTCTAGAAACAGATAACTAGATGTGAAAGGTTTAACCCGTTGTACGAATTGTACCATTCGGCAGAAAATACATATTCTCGATGCTTTCTCGCCAAGTCCCCGTGAGAGATAGTCGCCCAGGGGCCATCCATTCCGTGTTATACAAACTGCGATCCTTACTCATATGTATTGTTATTGAGAGGTATCTTATCTAGTTACAATTACTGATGAACCACAATACTCTCTTGTGTTGTGATATAAACGCGGTACAGTTTCTAGAACACTTAACCAGGCCAAGGCAGTACCCAGTCTTGTGTTTGCGACCAAGCCCCCTTTTGACTAACACAGGGATCGTTCTTCCTAGACCGGCATACACTAGTACTAAGCGAATTCCAAACCTTGCGTCGAATATGGCTCAATTTTTACTGTTGCATCACCCCGTGCAGATCCCAGTTTAGGTTGCATGGAGAGATGCTTAGACACTCCTTTATTAGGATCTTAGGCGTCGGCTCTACACCTCTGGGTTCTCGTACCATAGAGGTGGTTATTGTAAACCCGATATTCGCGCAAAAAGCCAGTACACCGATCCAAGAGCGCGATACGTGAAAATAACTACTGAATCATCCAAAGGGTTGTTGTGTCGGAAAGGACGGAGCTTGGTCGCTCACGTGAGCTCTTAGTCACTATGGACCAGGTGTAAGGATAAATTGCAGTTTGGCCTAAGTATTACTGCATGTAGACTTCGAGTTGGGTAAGGATCCACGGAGGATCATACGCTTGTAGCAATTGACCAATGACTGAGGTCAAGAGAGAATTCCCTTTGGAGGCTTCATGATATGCAAGACTGGCCCATAAAGATAGCCCAGGCTTGCTGTATTCGTAGCTGCACTTCGAAGTTCAATAAGCCACAAAAATAGGAGTGCTAGCCTGATCATCCACTGGCGACAGCTGCGGGCCAGTTGCGACTTGCTGAAACTCTTCTCACGTCTCGCAGGGATTGTTCTTGGCCAGACGCAATAGCAATTTGGCACCTGAAGTAACTTCCGGGCTCATACAAATCATTTTGGCAGTCCGGTTCGAGCTGGGTCGTGTCACCTGCTAACTTATCCTTTTTTTTTTCACACACATACCTTGACGTCACAGAGATTAAAGCTTGAGAATAACAACGGCTTCACTGACATACCGTAAATAGGGGCTAATGCCAAACTTTTCGATGGAGTCATAGGTTTAATATCCGAAAAGTCAATTCATTTTATTTCATAATAGAGAATCATGCTAGACTAACACCATTAGGCTCACCTTCTCACGGCTTACATCCGAACTATCAACCATTGGACAATCCAGTCCTGCAGTTAAGCCTATCAGCTAACCCAACCAGAATAAACACTATCAGCAGACGGCCTGATGAATACAGTACCACATGGATAGCAGGGACCCTCTTACCACCGACGATCCCCCGCGGAAACGCTGGTTTGGTCTCAAATACACCACGTTTCTTGTGTGTGGCATCGCGTTGCTCTGGCCATGGAACTGCTTCCTCAGCGCCTCCGCCTATTACGGCGAACGTTTCAAGGCGCACGCGTTTCTATCTGCTAACTACTCCTCCACCATGATGACCGTCTCGACAATTACCTCGATGGTGGGGAACGTAGTGCTTGCGAGGCGCCAGACGAAAGACTACGCTCTGCGCCTCGTCCGAGGCCAGGTGCTCGCCATTATTGTTTTTTTCGTCATGGCGTTCACGTGTGTAGCGTTTTTGCATGTTTCGCCCTTCTTTTTCTTCCCCTTTTTGATGGTGATGGTTTTTGTCTCGTCCGTGGCGACTTGTGTGGCCCAGAACGGGTGCATGGCCTTGGTCAACGTCATGGGCCCGCTCTATGCGAACGCAGTGATGGTTGGCCAGGCGGTGGCGGGTGTGTTGCCATCGATAGCATTAATCCTTTCGATTTTGCTCGTGGAAAAGTCAAACAAGCCTGTAGCCGAAGAACCAGAGGCAAACTGGGGTTTGTTCCTCTACTTTATCGCGTCCTGTGTGGTTTCTGGGGCATCGATCGTTCTATTCAAGGTGTCCGCCACCGATTCAGGATATGCGAATGCCGATGAGGCGAATGTGGAGGAACATTCCAGCTTCGAGCTTGATTCGGATGAAAGCCCGGGCATTAGTAGGCTGATCCCCCTCATGTTCCTATGGTATCGATTGAAATACATAGTGCTCTCGATTCTGCTCACGTTCTGTGTGACGTTGGCATTCCCCGTGTTTGCGTCTACCGTGGAGTCTGTGCGCGCAGACAGTGCTTGGCGGGTGTTTTCCAAGCAGATCTTCATTCCCATGGCGTATTTGGTGTGGAACATGGGCGATTTGGCCGGTAGAGTTGCGTGTGTGCTTCCGGTCTTTTGCGTAAAGGCACCAGCGATGTTGATGGCTTACTCCCTCGCGCGCTTGGCCTTTATTCCGTTGCTTTTCATGTGCAATGTTAAGAATCGTGGCGCTTGGGTCCACTCGGATCTCTTCTACATGGCGCTCCAGTTTCTTTTCGGTTTCTCCAACGGCCAGTTGTCGTCTCTGTGCTTTATGAGTGTCGGAACCTACTTCCAGAATGATGATGAAAAGGCCGCCGCCGGGGGCTTCAGCACGATTTTTTTGAGTGCCGGGCTCGCCACGGGCAGCTTGCTTAGCTACGTGATTGTGTATTTGATCCACTAGCTTACGGAAGTTTGAAGAGAATTTAAAATGAGATCAAAGAGTGAAAATTCAACACTAGACTCATTTAACATTGAGTGAATTGCTCCACGAATCTGATAAATCTCCATATAATATTATGGCGTATTTTACCTACTAACGGTATTAGTACGGGATATAGATTAAAAGGAAAAGCATTGATTTTGGGTTTATTCGACATTCATACAATGACATTAAAGTGCATGGGGGACAGTCGTTGACGTGCGAAGTTTTGTGCAATATATTTCCTTTCAATCGTACAATATGTTGTGGCTATAGCGCTAAATTCTAGGTTTGGCCCAGGAAAGTCTTAAAAATAGCTGATTAAAATTTTCAACCAAACTTGAAGGGAAAATCGCCACACCACACACAGGGTTAGGGAGTTTATGTGTACAGTATTCATTTTTAGAATTTAGACATAGCTGTAAAGGATCTATAAATCATAACAGTTTCTAAACCCCCGGCTTATAAAGTTGTAAGCCACAGAACCTCGTTTAGATACTTATCCTTACCACTTGGATTGAGCATTGGGGAGATTTATAAACCCCGTGTCTTAAGTGGGTGGGGCAACTCTATTGATCGTGCCATTTCTCGTGGCCACGCCTTTAAAGGCTGTGTTTGAAACCCAGTTCCACCAACCAGCGCTCTAGATCGTGCGTCACCCCTAACTTCCAATTTAGGCCCTTATACTGACGCCATCAGATTCTGTCCACCTTCGGATGAAATTTCTAGAGGCCCTGCTTCCTTCCGTTGAGAACCGCATCTGTACTCGAACCTCCACCTTCATCCCCATTACGCTGACCATCCACGGTATGTTTCATACAGCCTTCCTCTGAGTCTGGTTCGCCTTCCACTCAGAATGCCCGTCTTCATACACCTCATTTTTCCATATCTCCGTCTTTGCCTTGATTAGTTCGAGCAAATACTCCGCTGCAGCCCAGCCCTCCTGCCTGTGGGAACTACTAAGCGCAATCAAAATGCTGTCCTCCATGATTCCCACTTCGCCAAGCCTATGGACTACAAAAATTCGGTGAATGCAGTGCTCCAGCTGGTTAAATCTCGCAAACGTCTGAGCGGCTGCCTGGAAGAGCGACCGCAGCGCTAACGCTTTGTGTGCCTCATAAACCAATGCTTTAACCACGGCTGTGTTGGACGGGTTGGGATCCGCCCGAGTGATGCCATTAAACGTCACGACCGCCCCCGCTAGCGGGGTTTTGGCAAAATCTATCGCCTCTTGGATAGAAAGGGGGTCCGTAGTGAGAAGCACTCGGATATTTGGCGTGTCATGGTCATATACCCACCTGGTTTGGCTGGAATTCTGGATCATATCAACGGGGGCTTTTTTTGACAACGGCACTGAAATATATTCTGGCACTGGGATTTATTCTGGCCTTGAGCCGATTTCTGAATCTCTGAGGTCTTAACGATGCCAACCTTTGTAGAAGTGTTGAATCAAAGCCTTAATCTGAGGCCTGAAGCTTCTATCTTTAAACGCAGGATGATATACCCTGTATGCACACGGTGTCCGCTCCGCTTATGTCCAACCAGATAGCCCTAACAATGTCGGTTATCCGTCAAAACTGGAGCTCCCTAGAACTATCCGTTCAACTCTGAAAGTCCCAGATAATTGGTCTATTTCCCGGCGTGGAACTTGTAGGTCGATATCCCGTCAATCCCACCTATACCTGACATGGTCTCGAGTTTAGTCACGTGCGTGCGCGAAGATGGAAGTTTCAAACGTGTTTAAGGCCAAGGCTCAAGCCCCCACCCGACCCCCATATCCGAACGGTCGGTAATTTTCTGGCCCATCTGAAACCCTTCCTCTCTGAGCGACGAACCAAAAATATCAACCAGCCAGCCTCTCGGCCAGCCTCCGCTCTCTTCTGGCCGTAATTCCCAATTGGGTATCCTGCACACGTCTCTCGTCGCGTGTCCGCCTCTCGAGCGCCCAAAAATCTTGTTGATTATTTTACGTGTTCGATCTGCTCCCAGCACAAACCCACGGATCTTGCCTTGGTTTGATTTAACTACTGATTTTTCATAAGCACCACATTTATCTCATTCTCTAAATTCCAGTTATGTCCTCATACGAAGTCGGCACCCAGTGCTGGTACCCCGACGAGACGCTCGGCTGGATTGGTGTGGAGATTACGTCGCACAAACGCGAGGGCGGCAAGACAATGTTAGGCCTCAAAAGCGAGGCCGATGGCAGCTCGCTCACCGTTTCAACCGCTGGCCCGCTTGACGATACTAATAGCGACCTCCCGTTGCTCAGAAATCCGCCGATTTTGGAAGCCGCCGAGGACTTGACCTCTTTATCGTACCTCAACGAGCCGGCGGTGTTGCATGCGATCAAGGTGCGGTATTCGCAGATGAACATCTACACGTATTCGGGTATCGTGTTAATCGCCACGAACCCGTTCCAGCGGGTCGATCAGTTATATTCCCCGGATATCATCCAGTCTTATTCGGGTAAGCGCCGCGGCGAGTTGGAACCGCACTTGTTCGCCATCGCCGAGGAGGCCTACCGCTGCATGAAGACCGACGGCGAGAACCAGACCATCGTCGTTTCCGGGGAGTCCGGGGCCGGGAAGACCGTTTCCGCCAAGTACATCATGCGCTACTTTGCCTCCGTCAAAGAGCTCGACTCGGCCGTCGGCTCACACACCCCCACGGACATGTCCGACACCGAGAAGCAGATTCTTGCAACCAACCCCATCATGGAGGCTTTTGGTAACGCCAAGACCACCAGAAACGACAACTCCTCGCGGTTCGGGAAGTACTTGGAGATCTTGTTCGACAAGGGAACCAACATCATCGGGGCACGAATCAGAACCTACTTGTTGGAGCGTTCCAGACTCGTGTTCCAGCCGAAGATTGAGCGGAACTACCACATCTTCTACCAGCTTATCGCCGGTGCCACCGCTGAGGAGAGAGAAAAGTTCTCCTTGGCCAAGGTCGAGGACTACTACTATCTCAACCAGGGCGGGGAGGCGAGGATTGCCGGGATCGACGACGTGGCAGAGTTCAAGATCACCAACGAAGCTCTTTCGATGATCGGGATCAAGGATGACCAGCAGTTTGAGATCTACCAGATTCTTGCAGCGTTGTTGCACATGGGTAACATCGAAATCACCGCCACCAGAAACGACGCCCATTTGTCGTCCGAAGACCCGGACTTGATCAAGGCGTGTGATCTCTTGGGCATTGACGCGTACAACTTCAGCAAGTGGATCGTCAAGAAGCAGATCACCACCAGATCCGAGAAGATCATCTCCAACTTGAGCCACAAACAGGCGATCGTTGCCAGAGACTCGGTCGCCAAGTACATTTACTCCGCCTTATTCGACTGGTTGGTTGAGTACGTCAACATAGATTTGTGTCCAGAGGAGGTGGTGGCCCACGTGGCGTCCTTCATTGGGGTGCTCGACATTTACGGCTTTGAGCACTTCGAGAAGAACTCGTTCGAGCAGTTCTGCATCAACTACGCGAACGAAAAGTTACAGCAGGAGTTCAACCAGCACGTGTTCAAGCTCGAGCAGGAGGAGTACATCCGTGAGGAGATCGAGTGGTCCTTCATCGAGTTTGCCGACAACCAGCCGTGCATTGACTTGATCGAAAACAAGTTGGGGATTCTCGCGTTATTAGACGAAGAGTCCAGAATGCCCGCCGGCGCGGACGAGTCCTGGATTGAGAAGATGTACCTGACTTTGGACAAGGCGCCAACCAACGCTGTCTTCAAGAAGCCTAGATTCGGCAACACCAAGTTCATTGTCTCTCACTACGCTTTGGACGTTGCCTACGATGCTGAAGGGTTTATCGAGAAGAACAGAGACACCGTTAGCGAGGGTCATCTTGACACGTTAAAGGAGACGTCGAACTCCTTGTTGAAGGGAGTTTTGGCAACTATTGATCGAAATGCCGAGAAGTTGGAGACCGCCAAGGCTGCCGCCGCCGCCGCTGCGGGCCCGGGGAGACGGGTGGTGAACAAGAAGCCAACGTTGGGGTCCATCTTCAAGACCTCTTTGATCGAGTTGATGAAGACGATTGAGTCTACCAACGTCCACTACATCAGGTGTATCAAGCCGAACGAGGAGAAGAAGGCCTGGGAGTTTGACCCGTTGATGGTCTTGTCTCAGTTGCGTGCCTGCGGTGTGTTGGAGACCATCCGCATTTCGTGTGCTGGGTTCCCAACCCGGTGGACTTACGCGGAGTTTGCCGACCGTTACCACATTTTGGTCTCTAGCGAGATCTGGAACTCCGTTCTCAACGGCAGCGCGTCTGAAGACCAGATCCGCCTGTTGTGTAACAAGATCTTGGAGAAGTCAGTGGCCTCTAAGGAAACCTACCAGTTGGGTAACACCAAAATCTTCTTCAAGGCCGGTATGTTGGCTGTCCTCGAGAAGAAGAGGACGGACACCTTGCACAACGCGGCCGTGATGATCCAGAAGAACGTCCGCATGATTATCTACCGCAACCAGTATCTCCAGGCGAGAGCGTCAATCATCGACGCCCAGGCGTTGTTCCGTGGCTTTTCCGCCAGGGTTAGAGTCCAGAAGGCTATCGAGGAGCACGCCGCGACCAAGATTCAGACCGCCTCGAGGGGATTCCTCGCCCGGAAGCGCTTCAGCAGCACGCAGAGAAGCGTGGTTACCATTCAGTCCGCCATTCGTGGGATCCAGACCAGGCGCAATGTCACCAAGTTCCGCACTGAGAAATCGGCCGTGGCGTTGCAGCAGGCCTGGAGAAACTACACCGGCAGGCGCGACTTCAAGGCTATGGCCCGGGCCGCCCTCTACGTGCAGTGCTGTCTTCGTCGCCGTCTCGCGAAAATCGAGTTCCGCAAGCTCATGGCGGAGGCCAAGTCGGTCAACCGTTTGAAGGAGGTTTCCTACACGTTGGAAAACAAGGTGATTGAGTTGACCCAGTCGTTGTCGGCCAAGATCACCGAGAACAAGCTGTTGATCGCCCAGATCACCACCTTACAGGGCTCTCTTGCCGAGAGCGGTGAGTCCAGGGAGAAGTTGAAGGCCAGAGAGGCCGAGCTTAGCTCGCAGTTCGATTTGCAGAGCGCCCAGCACCTCCAGGAGACCGGCGCCATCAATGCCGACTTGGCGAGGGTCAGAGACGAGTTTGTCCAGGCAGAGGCTAAGATCCAGGAGTTGACGTCCGACCAGAACGCTTTGAAGGAGGAGGTCCGCAAGCACTTGGAGGAGTTGGAACAGGCCAAGGAAGAAATCGCCCAACGAAACGCGGTGGAGGGCGATTTGAAATCCACCATCTCCCAGTTGAAGGCCGAGCTCGCCATTTTGGCGGCTCAGGGCCCGGTGGCGAACGGCAGAGCTGACAAATCTCGCCTGGTGACCAACGGCCAGTGGAACGGCCAACCGGTGTCGATCATTCCTGTTTCCGGGAAGGAGGAAATCAACGCCAACTCCATTAACGAGGAGTTGTGGAACCTCTTGCAGGACTCCAAGTCGTTACACAAGGAGATTGTCGACGGGTTGTTGAAGGGGCTAAAGATCCCGCCTGCTGGTGTGGCTGCTGATTTGACGAGAAAGGAAGTCCTCTTCCCTGCCAGGATCATCATCATTATTCTCAGCGACATGTGGAGACTCGGTTTCACCAAGGAGAGCGAGGAGTTCTTGGGCGAAGTCTTGTCTGTGATCCAGGAAATTGTTTCGGCCTTGAAGGACGAGGATATCATTGCCCACGGCGCCTTCTGGTTGTCCAACACCCACGAGTTGTACTCCTTTGTCAGCTATGCCCAGTCCACCATCATTGAAAACGACGCCATCTCCAACGAGATGACCGAGCAGGAGTACGACGAGTACTTGCGCTTGGTGGCTGTCGTGAAAGAAGATTTTGAGTCTCTTTCGTTCAACATCTACAACATGTGGATGAAGAAGTTGGAGAAGGACTTAGAAAAGAAGGCCATCTCCGCAGTGGTGTTGTCCCAGTCTTTACCGGGCTTTATGGCGCCAGAATCCTCACCCTTTTTGGCTAAGGTGTTTTCCCAGGGCACTCAGTACAAGATGGACGACATATTGAGCTTCTTCAACGCGGTTTACTGGTCTATGAAAACGTACTTCATTGAGTCCGAGGTCATGAAGGAGGTGGTTGTGGAGTTATTGCGCTTTGTCGACGCCTTGTGTTTCAACGACTTGATCATGAGACGTAACTTCTTGTCGTGGAAGAGAGGTTTGCAGTTGAACTACAACGTCACCAGATTGGAGGAATGGTGCAAGGCTCACGACATTGATGACGGTTCCAGCTACTTGTCCCATCTCTTGCAAGCCGCCAAGCTTTTGCAGTTGAGAAAGAACACCACCGACGATATTGATATCATCTACGAGATTTGCTATGACTTGAAGCCGTCGCAGATTCAGAAGATAATCTCCCAATACCATGTGGCGGACTACGAAACCCCAATCGCGCCGGATGTTCTCAGAGCCGTGGCCGATAAGGTGAAGAGTCACGGCGGGAATGAGGATTACTTTGAGGCGTTGTCTCCAGAAGATCATTTTGAGGATCCATTCAGAAACATTCCGTTAAGACCGTTCTCCAGGGTGGAGGCGTACGTTCCGGCCTGGTTGAACTTGCCGATTATCCGCAGAATCATCGAGTTGGTTGCCAAGAACGCCAGTGTCCAGGACACAGCCGACGATGGTTACGAAGAGAGCCATCCGTTGAGCTAGAAGCCTGGTCGAAGGCTAGGGCCACCCGTCGCTACTAGATTACGTTTGTCCCGGGTACTCTTGCGGTGGAGAAACTGTAAACCACTCTTTGTATGATATCCTCTTTTTTGTTCATGTATTTTCGTATGGTTGTCTCATTACATATTCTAATGCAACCTTTAAGTGTTTAAAGCCTTTGGTTGTAGAAGCAAATACCCACACTATACAGACGGAATATTTTCCTGGAACTATCTTTTAATAAGTTCAAGCTCTGAGTTTACCACATACACTGTTGGATGGCGGAATTTCCGGAAAATTGGTTGACAGCCACTCGAAGAAATTTGAGTTTCAAAGTTGATGTCAACTCTACGCGTTTTCTTTCGTTTTAAGGAATGATATATCGACCCCCAGAGTGGTTATTGGATAAAACAACGGATATTACCTGACTGAATACTGACCAAGACAGGCGATTTAACTATTTTGAGCGCAAACACAATCGGGGGAACTCTCAGAGACAACCAGCTTTCAGGATGGCCAGAGTTATTGCGTAAAACTGGCCAAGTAATGACAAAAATCCAAGGCCAACAATATTTCATGGAGAATATAAAATGAACCTAGCCACTGTAGGGGAGAATGGATCAATATGAGGGTAAATAAGTAATATCCCAGAAATCTATTTCTGTTGGAAGACAATTAAATGAGACATGTTTACAATTGACCCTCGGAATAGCACACTATACATAAAGAGTCCATTACCAACCCTATGTTTGACCCGCAATATCTACAAAGATAGAACACAGGCAGGTCTCTCCTGTGCTCGAAGTAGAACCCCATATAAGGTTGGCTATCGGCTAGTTTTGCTGAGTTTAGAGCAACAACATTCAGGGTCCACCTAAAGACAAAACCAACTTAGATAAGAAGGAAAGGATAAATTGTCAAGAAATTATCCGAAACGTGCATTTCCCAAATCTCACGGGGACAAACTACTCCCAATAGGGCATGCGAACATGCTTGATCCACCGCTACGGTAAAACAGTTCTACTCCCGGTGATTTATTCAATTCCCGATTAAACTATATACACCAACGTATCTCTATTTCTTCCCTTTATTGAACTCTTCCGGGGTCTTGGTCTTCATCTGCAACGCGTGGAGACCCTTCTCCTTGAATTCCTCGTCCAACAAACTGTAGATGGCTCTGTGCCGGTTGGGCATATTCATGCCCTCGAAAACGTCGGTGACGATTTCCAAGCGGAAATGCGACTCGGTCACATTGGTGGCGCCCCTGAGTCCAGCGTGATGGGCATGCTTATGGCTGTCGTTGCTGATCCTGAGGTGGGACGGGTGAAACGCGTTGGTGAGCTTGGCAATGATGGACTGCTCAATTGGCCCGGAGGCGGTAGTGGTAGACATGCTTCGGATTATCGCTGGGAGCATCTCAGAATAGCGTAGGGCCAAGAGGAGCAGGTGCAAGGCCATTCAACGGCTTGTGATAAAAAGCCGCATTTCACGTCACATGATAACAGGCGTGCGCGCACCGCCCCTTCAGGCGTGGCTCAGCCGGATATCGTACAGGCTGTGCCTCGGAGATTCGGGGTGCCAAGTCCACGTATATCCATCATAAAGGCAATTTCCACGAATCAATCGTGATAAAAGCATACCTTACGCTCATATAAAAACAATGTCCTCCTCCGTGCCTTACGACCCATACGTGCCACAAAACCAGAACTCCAATGTGGCACATCTTCAATCGGTAAGTTGGCAGCAACAAAACGCCATGAAACGATTTGACGTCCTGCTTTCATGGGCTGTTTTGAGATTTACCACCCATGGCATCGTTCTAGCACTATACTAACCCTTTTATAGCAAATCGATGACACCGTGGGTGTCATGAGAGACAACATTAACAAGGTGGCGGAACGGTATGTATCGTCCATTTCCATCACCCAACAATACTAACCCTTTTAGCGGTGAGCGTCTCGACTCGCTTGACACCAAGGCTGACAACTTGGCTACCTCCGCGAGAGGCTTCAACAGAAAGGCCAACGACGTCAGAAAGCAGATGTGGTGGAAGAACATGAAGATGAAGATGTGCTTGATCGCGGCTGTGATCATCGCCATCATCGTCATTGTTGTTCCGATTGCCGTTCACTTCTCCTAATCCCGCCCCTCTTGCACTTTCAAACTTTTTTTCTTTGAGCAGCTAGCTCTCCCTCTAATCAACACTTTTATCTACTTGCCTATAGGTAAAGAGTTTTGTAGCCGGTCTGTAACTGGCGAAGTTACTCCCTGTCAAAGTTATTTCCTAGGCTGCATAGCGGCTGGAAGTCCAATTAGCTAGATCCGGAAATATTATATTGCAGTTTTCTTTTGCCTGGCGACGATTCATAATATGGTCTGCGTAAAACTAATATCGCTACTCTCCCGATAGTCCAACGACGTGTTCCTGGGGTCTAGTAACACACATCCATATCAAAGGATGATTAAAAGGTTATACTTCGAGAATCAGTCATTTTTCATCCACCCTGGGTCAATAATATGTAGTTATTGGGGGGTAGATCTCGCAAGAACGTTGCGCAGCTCCTACTTTCTTTTAACACCCATCTGGTCCTGCATTTCTGGAAAGATTACTAAACCCCTCTTGACCCTTAGTGATCCCAAGCTGTTCGATGTAAGACTGGAAATATGAAATAGCCAAAACATTATATTCTGTCACGGCTTGCAGATGCACAACATTATATTCTGTCACGGCTTGTGGACACTCAACTTATATATGTTACCTCGTGTTTCGGACACACCCGTGAGATAACCAATTGTAGCTCGTTTCGAAATTTCAACAAGCAGCTGATATACCTATGAAACGCTGTTTCAGTGGAAAAGTGCACTAATAGGCTCCTCTTTTGCTCAACTTTCCAGCTATATATTTCTGGATATTACGTCTCGTTTGTCAACATGCCTTTTGTCCAAACTACATGAAAAATCTAGCTCATACCTCCCCTTGGCGGAACCGAGCCACGAAAAAAATGAGCATACAAAGCAATACTGTATTACAGGGTGCAGATCTAATTTTGCGGGGCAAACAATCTTCGCTTGACCCTGCTTCCAAGAGATACACCCTCTTCTGGGCGAGAGGCTTTGCCCAATGGTGACGAATCAATGGCAAAGTGCATAGGCGAGCTCTGGATCACCTCACTCTCCGTTCTTTCAGCGCTATCAATTTGCGTTCTAAGGGTTTTCACTTGAGGAGTGGCAAACACAACTTTTTCCTCAAGGTTCACATGGCGGATACGGTTCGAACTAGGGGTGGCCTCAACCTGGGAAAAGGACTGGGTCGCAAGCGACGTTCCGCTGGCGGCCTTGGTGAAGATCCCACCGGATTCGTTCATAAACCCAGATTTAGCCTGCTTCACACCCTGGGGCTTTTTCTCCAGGGCCTCGGGATTTAATAGAGGCATACTGAGGTCCACTTGACGCTTTTCCAAGTTCTTGGACGTGAAGGAAGTGGAAGAGGCGCGTTTGAGCAGAAGAGGGCGCTCCAGGTTGGACTTGGACCGTGTGAGTGTTGTTAGGTGCGGTGGGGCGGGAACCCGTCGGAAACTTCTCTCTTCCCCTTCCAAAGACGGAAGGGGCAACGGAAGCTGGACAGGAAGGGGCAACGGAGAGGCACTGCGTGTCATCCGTGGCTCCAGATTCACTGGTTCCTCAAGAACGGGTCTCTTCTTCCGTTGCTTGAAGCTGGGACCTTTGATCTTATCGAGCATATAGTTAACCAACTGCAAGGACTTTTTTCCAAAGTAAGGGTTGATCACGTAGGCGACAAAGCCAACAGCACTGTCTTCGGACTTTGGCCCCTGTGCGAGAAGTGCGTCCCATACTGCCAACCGATCGATAAACGTGTCCAACCGCAGTAGGAGGTCTGTGTAGTCAATTTTTCCGTCAGATAGCAGCGCTTGAAACCCATCGGTAGGTCCTTCAAGAGATTCTGGGTTTACCAACGTCGGCACCAAACGCCTTTTCATCCGACTCTTACTCCGCACAAGAGACTTTACAGGAATTTTCTGGTGCTTCTTTGCCGCCTGGTGCTTTACAACCGTGATATCCACGTTTTTGAGCAAAAACATTTCGAACAAGACGAGAATCTGGAGCTGTGCCTCGCGCACCTTCAAGCGGAGCACAAGACTGTAAACCTTATCCTCTTTTGTGGGCTCGTTAGCGGTGTCTCCTACTGGAGGCTCCGAAACCCCCAAAATCCCGGCATAGCGCTCTAGCAACTTTTCCCGGTTAACTGTCTCGCTTTCTATATGGTCCCTATGACTGGCCACTGGTCCCTCAAGGAGTCCTAACCTCCCAGTGTGGCGCCTGTCAAAACCTTCCATAGTTAGAAGTACCAGGTACAATGTTGTCTCAAGCTCCAGATCTCCCTGGCATAACACTTTTAGTCGTGTGAGTGTGGTTTTGGGAAAATATGTCAAGGGTGTAGTCAAAAGGTAAAGACTTTGGTAGTACCGACTCCCAAGGAATGCCGCTGCACTCTGTTCCTTCACCGGGGAGCTGAAGAACCCCTTGACCGGAGAGGAGTTCGGGCATCCAACGGGTCTGTCGGGTAGCATGGAGAACCCGGAGAGAAGCGTGCGGAGATCATCGTCCGCAAGCGCAGACATGGCTCTCATCCGGGAGAACTCCGCTTTGTCGAGGCGAAGTGTATCAAATAACTCTGACATCTAAAAAGATGAAGCTCTGTAGGGGGGTATGAAAATGGAATAGGTATAAAGGAGTGGGGAAGTAGGCCATGGTCATGTCACATATCGCCCAATTGGGAAAATAGTCCACGTGGTCACGTGATTGATTTGGGTATCGAAGTGATACGGGCTGTAAACGTCAATGAGGTTATGAAATTAACATGTTTATATATCTTCTTCGCGGGTAGGTTGGTTGAAAATGGAAGTTCCTTGAATTTCACGATCTATAGGTCAGTAGTTGTCTCCCCTACAAGATGGAGTCGTCAATGCTGAGGCTCCGTAAAGCTTTGTGTTTTGCATCTGATTTGTTTCCAAGGTGCACATAGAGAAAAAAGGACTAACGCATTACTCGTACGAAAGTGGTGGCGTGGTAAAGTTGCATTCTTGATTGACATTCACCCAGATTGTGTTATAGATACTCTTCAACCCTTCGTGCCGGTTCCTCTTGATATCCGCTTGGCTGGCTTCCTATTTTCTGTGTAAGGAGCTATTTCTTTAGTCTCTTCACATTGTCAATATCAAAAAAAACTTGTAATAACATGGAATTCCTACAACCAGCCTTAGATATAATGTAATGACCAACCCAGGAAGGACAAAGCGCACTGGGAAGGTCTAACCACACCACTCCATTATGACGGAATTTCTTGAACAGAGATAGATAATTATAGCGTATACTTTCTTTTAAAGGATATAAGGTAAGCCACAAAAGGAGGGGAAAAAACATAACTCCGTACTTCAAATTGAGTTTCAAACCGCCACGTCTAGAACATGAATCGAATACCTTAGTCATTCGGTTTTCTTCCAGCCATGCTCAGTTGTTCGGGTATAACAGGGTAGTATCTAAAATTGGAGTAATTTTTGACGCTGAAATTATTATTCGTAGAAACTACCTGTCTCTCAACACCAGGACTTTTCATTTATCATATGAGGTTAAAGCAGGTTGATCGGCATTCCGTCCAGGCGAACACCACTCAGCACCGGAGGCGTGCAAAGCACTCTAATTTAATATCCCCTAGACGTTCTCCCTAAGCCTTATCAAATAGTCTATAATATTATCCGACTTTAGATTTCTCCCTAATGCCGCTTCGATGGACTCCTCGAACCTTGGCTGCAGCCCCTTGCATAACCTACGCCAGGAGGCATACGCTACTCAAAGAATCAATATCTCACTAAAGATCTACACATGTAAATTTCAACTACAAGGGATCTAGCGTTAGCGAGGATTGAGATCTGTGCCTATGATGGCTTCCAGAAAATTTACAACGACGTTTCCTAGCCTGATTGCTCTCTAGCCACTATCACATCACTCCCTACCTCTCAAATAAACCCAACCACCAACCAAAATATTCATTATTACGTATACAATACCCACCAAGGACCGCAATTTATCCTTGTGCTTATACTCTAATCGCTCTTTCAGCCCTCGATCTTTCCCATCACAGCAATATCGAGCATCCTGCATACAATATCATGTGTCCTAGGTCGTGCCGTTAGCCGCTGTGCCCTGTCACGTTCCCGCTGGCTGGCGCAGTAAGGCCATAATCCCCGGGTGCAAACAGGTATTTGGTTTTTCCAGCGTTTGAGCCGTGGCTCTTTGTCGACACACCCTACTGATTCTCCTAAATCCGTTAAGCCTCGCCCGTGTTAGCCTCCCAGCTCCTTACCATTCATCCCTTGATCACTACAGCCCTGTATCCAGCTGCTGAAACCATCAAGCCGCCGAGATAATCAAGCCCCTCTTTAGCCAGAGCTTCCATCACTGCTAACTATCAACCAAACATTCATCAATCAAGCAATCAGTTGCCAAACACCCCAGCATAATTAATACAATGTCCGATACGCCGTCTCTTTTAACCCCTGCACCCGCTCCCCAGGCTAGTCCCTGGAAAGCTGTCGCGGCACCCGCGCCACTGGCAGCGCCGTGGGCCGCGCCTGATGCAAGCGCGCAGGAAGAAGCATCAGCAGTGCATAAGGTGGTCAAAAAGAAGGCCGTCTGGAAGCCGCTTGACGCGACCATCACCATCGCCGCCGCCGCCAACAAAAACGGCAAGGGTAAAGACAAGAAAAAGAGTGCAAAGACCTCGGCCAAGCGAGCGGAAGACGCAGAGAACGAGGGGAAAAAAGCCAAGGCCGTGGCCAAAAAAACTGTCAAGCTGCAAAATACCAATAGCCCCGTAATCAGGTCCACCATCAGCCCAGAGTTTGAGGAGAAAATCGACTCTGAGATTCAGAAGATCGAGGAATCCGTGAAACGAGTATCACTAGTCGAGGAGCAACAGCCGTCCCGCAAACTGTCACGGGACTACAACTACAACGGCTACAAGCACCGCAATCAACGAAATGGGTTCCAGAACTACAACAAAAAGGGCTTCCAGCAGTTTCCGCCGTACCCCTTTGTACCTGTGCCGCAGTTTGGATTTGGCTATCTGCCGTTTGCGCCGGGTCCTAACACGCTTCCGCCGCCCTTTTCCCCGCATTCGCCGTCGTCCGAATCCGACCAGTCGCTAAACCCGCCAATGTTCAATCCGTACAACGCGTACGCTTTTCCGCCGCCAAACGGTCAGTTCCCCGTCATCGATGAGCGCTTGGGCTACGTGACGAACCAGTTGCGGTATTACTTTTCGTTGGAAAACTTGTTGAAGGACATGTATTTGCGGAAAAACATGGACAGCGAGGGCTACGTGTTGCTAGGGGTTATCAACGATTTCCACCGTATGAAGAGCTTGAGTGGTGGTGCCTTGGTGGTGTTACAAGAGGCGGTGAAGTACGTGCCGGAGCTTGAGATGGTGTGGGACCGGGAGGAGGACGGGATCTTGGTGGGAGCTAAAATCCGATTACGTGAGCAGTGGGAGAACTGGGTAATACCGAGCTGATTCCCTGTGGTCCTTATGTCTAGATTCTTCCTCCGTCTACCAGTTGAATGTCCCCGTGCTCCCCCATCCCTTTGGATGTCTTATTACCAAGTACCCTTGATCTTTCAGGCCACCGGTAATTCTCTACCTTCTTCTTTCATTGAAGGAGATTTCTACCTCTTTTGCTTAATTTTTTATCTGGCCACTGACAAGGCTTGTCTTGCTGAAACAAACCCACGAACGATATGGTGATACACCGGCAAGCCTGTGGGGGCGTCATCTTTTTATTCTCTTTACGTATGATACGCAGGTCACGCGGACGGTGTATGTTTATACATTCAATCTAAAAACAGGACTTGCAAAATAAGCTAGGCGGAAGTAGCTAGGCCAAATGGTAGACTGCGTAAAGCTGATAGGGCATTCTATTAAAGGTTTGGCCGACACAATGCTGTTGGACCATAGCCTAAATGGCATCAGCATTGTGCTGGCCCACTTCAATAGCACGGGTAAACCGGGCGATCACTGACTCTACTAGAGAAGCTATATACAGGGATATTTCGGTAAAAAAATGCAGACAGCGAGAGTAACCAAGGCTAAAGATATTATAGAAAGTTCTAACGGCTTTCCCCTGGACAATAGTGCAGCCCCTAGTATAAAGCGTGTCGGTTGTCAGGAGTATCTTTCTAAAAACAATAGTAAGGCTACCCGATCCTACTATAATAATGCAGTTACTGGGTTACACGCATCCTTGAAGAAACGTCTCTAGATTAGCGCACTGAACAGTCTTCAAGCTTCGCTTTATTCATCGCAAACCACGACGCAGTTTATTTTTTTTTCCCCTCACCTTGACTCCTGCAGGTCTACGGGGCAACGGATATCTGGCCTCCAATAAAAATCAAGTAGCTGCAAGGCTCAATACGGTACGAGAGAAGAAATACTAACGGCCGTACTATTTATTGACGAATGATCCCTCGATTTACTCCGGAGACGGCCATCTTCCCCCACAGGCAAACCTAAATTCGATCGCGGCCAAACACTACCGCACTTGGCACGAGTCAAAACCGACGTGCATATGACAGCCCGAGTCGCGCCTCCCTCTGACTCGGACCATGAGGACTTTTTTTTGCCCAGGTTTTCCTGACGTATATAAGGAACCTAACCCCCAGGAATTTGCAGGCTCCTTATCCCGCCTCTCCACACCTTACCTCACACTATGTTGTCTATTTTTGCCAGATCCGCCGTCAGAGCTCCAGTCAGAATCCAGGCCTCCGCCGTTTTCTCCAGGTTCCAGTCCACCTTGAACCAGATTAACAAGGACTCTGTTGTTGGCCAGTTTTCCGCGCAATTGTCTGTCAAGTACACCGCCGAGCACGAATGGTTGGCTTCTGCCCCGGATGGAACCACCTACGTCGGGATCACCAAGTATGCTGCTGATGCCTTAGGTGATGCCACCTTCATCGAGTTGCCAACTGTCGGCGACGTTGTTGAAATCGGTGACTCCATTGGTTCCGTCGAGTCCGTCAAGTCTGCCTCTGAGGTCTACGCGCCAATCAGCGGTGAGGTCTTGGCTGTCAATGAGGAGTTGGAGGCCAACCCACAGTTAATCAACGAAGACCCAATGGGCAACGGTTGGTTTGTTAAGATCAAAGTTGCCGACGTCAAGGAATTAGAAACCAACGAAGAGTTGTTGTCTGAGGCCCAGTACCAGGAGTCTTTATCCGAGGAAGACCACTAAACACCCCCTGCATCATCATATTACGTATCTCCCGGTATAAAGCCAGGCCCATTGAGTGGGTGCGCTTAGATATCTATTTATATAACCGAAATGGCATAAGAGAGTTTTTTTTTGTAAAAGGGGCTTGAGGAACAGGGCTACATCGACTTTGGACGGAGCTTGGAGTGCTTACAAGGTCATTGCCATCAAAGTAGGAAGGCTTAGACATGACTGAATTACGGAGTTACAACACCGAGAATATAGCACCCTTAGAAAGCAGTGTACGCGGTATGACCGATTAGATCGTCGTTAATGACTTGTGTTAAATCCACTGATGTGCCGTGTACCAGAAGTAAGCTACAGTATAATAGTGTCTAATAGGTGACGGGGTCTTTACCGAATCAATATTGCGAGACTCAGTTTACCCCAGATTTGAATACTCCTAGCATTTGTTCAGAGAGATAGAGGAGGGGGTATGCGGACAACCCTCGCCAACTTCATTCGTACTTTTCGGATAACTGTGAGACCGCTACTCCATCCAAAAGAACTTCACGAAATCGGCTAATATAAGCCGCCCAAGCACACGAATTCCAGTCCCACCCACATAAGACTTTGGGCTTAGTCCTACAAAAACATTAAAGTCTGTCTGAGACTATTGCCAAAATAGCCTGAATAGTTAGATCCTTATCCTCCTTCTATTATCTGTACCGAACCAAGGAAATATAATACAAACAGTGGTCAATACAATTAGATTAATTAATATTACTCCACAAACATATATCACTAAAGTAGAACTAACATTGTCGTCCATATTTCAAAATCCTGCACATAACGCCTTTGTTTCCACCACCAGTCAACCACAAAGTGGTCTTCTTCCTCAAGAGCTAGTTTCAAAAGTGCTTACGATCCAACAAAGCTATATCTTCTTACAGGAATACTTCCCTATACACGGATTAGCAGTCTTCCCAGACACTCAGTGAAGCCAACCCCGCTGTAAGTAATGAGCCCCGCAGAAGGTGTAACCGCCGACGAGAAGAAACGCTTGCGCCGTGAGAAGCTCGCGGCGTGGAAAAAGAAGAAGGAGGCGGAGGCGGCGAAGCTCCCTGAGACAGTGACTAACGCCCCAGCGTTCCATGGCATCAAGAAGCTCACATTAAAGCGCGTTTCGGCAAAGTCCGTGTTTGGTGATGCCGCTGACGAGGCCGACCAGCCCGCCAGGAAGATGAAACTTCTAAGTTTCAAGGATGAGGAGAACGATGAAATGAACGGTGGTGGTCACAGCAATGGTGATGCCAAAGATGGAGATGATATCGACCCTTTTGATGCCTTTATGTCCACGATTGCAGATAGTTCCACGGCTTCGGGCCAAATCCTTGAGAGCGATGAAGAAATCGAAACGGAAGCGGTTGCAGGAGAAACTCCGGAGGAGCTTCTAGCGAAACTCCAACAGCGTAAGAAGAAGGAACTCCCGCGGGTGGACCACTCCAAAATGGCCTACGAGCCATTCCGCCGACAATTCTATACGGAGCCGGCTTCCACCGACTTCGAGGTTGACCCCACTTTACTCGGCATAAAAATCCGCGGAGTGGGGTGCCCGAGACCGATTCAACACTGGTCGCAGCTTGGACTCCCCCTCCAGATGACCCACATCATCGAACAGGCGGGCTACACCGCGCCCACGCCTATCCAGGCACAGTCGCTTCCCGCGATAATGGCCGGAAGAGATGTTATCGGAGTCGCCAAGACCGGCTCGGGAAAAACCGTGGCCTTCCTCCTCCCAATGTTCCGCCACATCGCGGACCAGCGGCCACTAGCGAAGAACGAAGGACCAATCGCACTTATCATGACCCCCACCAGAGAGCTTGCCACGCAAATCTTCCGTGAGTGCCGGCCGTACCTCCGCGCACTAAACCTCAGGGGAGTCTGCGCTTACGGGGGCTCGCCAATCCAGGAACAGATTGCTGACTTGCGGCGCGGGGCTGAGGTTGTCATTTGCACGCCAGGCCGCATGATTGACCTCCTTGCAGCGAATGGGGGCCGTGTCACCAACGTCCATCGCGTCTCGTACCTTGTCTTAGACGAGGCCGACCGCATGTTTGACATGGGCTTTGAGCCACAGATTACGCGGATAATACAGAATGTACGGCCTGATCGTCAAACAATTTTGTTTTCGGCCACATTTCCGCCAAAGATGGAGGCGCTCGCGCGGCGTATCTTGCGCAAGCCAGTGGAGATTATCGTCGGCGAGCGCAGCGTGGTGGGGTCAGATATCGCCCAGGAGGTTGAAGTTGTTGCTCAACAGACTGACAAGTTTGTGCGGTTGCTCTCGCGGATTGGGAAATTCTTCAGCGACGATTCGCAGGGCAAGGTGTTGGTATTTGTGGACCGCCAGGACGCTGCGGACGGGCTCTTCCACGCGTTAATGAAGCGGGGTTACCCTTCCGTGACGATCCACGGGGGAAGAGAGCAGATCGACCGTGACGCCGCGATCCAGGACTTTAAAAATGGAGTGTACAACATCATGATTGCGACATCTGTCGCGGCCAGAGGGTTGGACGTCAAACAGCTACGGTTGGTGGTGAACTACGACGCTCCCAACCACATGGAGGATTATGTTCATCGTGTGGGCCGCACAGGCCGCGCCGGTATGAAGGGAACGGCGCTAACGCTCTTGACCGAGGACCAAGAGCGCAATGCGACAGATATCGCCAAGGTGATGCGATTGTCGGGCGTGGAGGTTCCGGCGGCGGTCCGCGCCATGAGCGACCGTTTCCTCGAGAAGTTCAAGTCGGGGAAGGAGCAGTACGGGTCTGGCTTCGGGGGCAAGGGCTTGGAGAAGTTGGAGAAGCTCCGCAACGAATCCCGCACGGTAGAGCGGAGGGCCTATGGGGAGGACGATAAGGAAGAAAAGACACCTGTGGTGGAAGCGGAAGTTCAGACGTTTGATATTGTGTTCGGGAAGGCTCCGCTGACTTCCGGGCTGCTGACAAGCGCGTTCGATGCGCGGATCTGCATCAATGACCTTCCGCAGAAGGCCCGCTGGGTCGTTTCTCAGAGCTACAAGAAGGTGTCTGAGGAGGCCAGTGTGTCGATTACCGTTCGTGGGCGGTTCTACGCGGAGAACCAGACCCCGAAACCCGGTGAAGAGCCCAAGTTGTATGTGTTGATTGAAGGCGAGACGGAACGGAGCGTGGAGAAAGCTGTGGCATTGTTGAAGGAGGCAATGATCGAAGGGATCAACATGGCCGCAACCGAGGAGGCCCGTGCCCCAGCAACCAGGTACAAGGTTTAACAAGTTCGGGTGAAAGACCCGCGATGGTGGAAGGATGTGTCAATGTCGGGTTTTTCTCCCGTGATTCATTACCGCTTCTGGAGTTTGTAATTATCCAATTGTGGAATGCGATCCATTCAGCAGGTTTTACTAGCCTAGCTGCGTTTTAGACAAAACCTGGTGTCAAATTTTGGACGTTACTAGATGGACGAAGATAGTTAATACATTTTAAGGAAGCAGTGTATAATGTCAGTAATACATAGATGCTCAAGTCAACTAATTGACTTGTCGGTAAATCATGGCTAGATATCTTGCAGATTTTACATAAGTGGTGAACATTAACAAATTAGACATCGGCACATGTTGCCATCAGAGAAATAGACAACGAACACACGGATGGCCATATTTTGATGGCCATGGTTTATGTATTTAGCTACCTCTACCTGATATCTTTACCGCGAATAAGCTTTAGATCTTGATAAATAAATTTCAATAAACAGACCTTGTTTTATCAATCCATAGCTCCGCAATCTCTAACATCAACTCCACCGTTGGCTGAACTTCATATACGGAGCCAAAACTCAATTATGGGTGTTCGCTTCATATAATCACGTTTCTACCAATAGATGAACGTCATGAATACCATAGTTGATTCATGTCACGTACCACGCAGCCGGGTCTCCTAGGCACGGTATTATCTATACTTAAACCTTTATGCTCCGGAAAGAGTACAATATAAAAAGATTCGGTAGATTTCCAGAAATTCAAGCCTTGTCAAGTGATCCAATCCATGCAACCCTCCATGCCTCGTGTATGCTCATACATCCTGAAACTGTAAAACAAAAACCTCTTTCAACCCCCCCAAGAACACCCTAGATTGTGATACCCCTGATCCCGGTTGAAATCCTGGGTTATGCAACAATATTACCAACCTTCTACCACTCTTCGTTAATCTTCTGTTTCTTTTCCGCCCTCTTCAACTGCTCCTTCAACGCGACGTCGTCCTTTAACACCTGCTGCGCGGTCTTCTTGCGCTCCTGGTCCAACCGGCGTCCCAATGGACCTTGTTCCTTCGCACTGGTCGCCGTGTGTCTCTCAAGCGCCGCCTGCCTCGCTGATTCTCTGGCGTCTTCCGTGGCATTGGGTGTGTTTCCTAAAACGCGGCCCTTCTTTGCCCCCGGTGGCCTCACGTTAGGTGTCTGTGCAGTTCTGGAGCTGGGCTTTTCGTTGAGTGGTGGGCTCTTTGGCTTGGAAAAACAGCTTCCCATGATGTAATGGCTGTGGGTAGTGGCAGAATGGGGTATTGGAGGGCTGCGGATGTTAGGGGCTGCGGATGTTAGAGGCCGAGGAGTTTGTGTTATATGAATCGCGAAACTTGAACCGCGCGTAGAATTCGCGAATGGAGCCGGTTTTAAATTCTCAAGTGTTTAAAGACCTAGAGAGAGTTTCTATTAAATAAATCGATACTTGAAATCACTTTTTTATATCTATCATTTATTTTGCAATCAGAATCACCCTTAACGAAAAAAAATAGCATGAATATAAAGCCATGGCGAAAATTAGGGGTTTTCGTAAGACGTCTCCAGCTCATCAACGCAAATGACGGGTTATATTACGCTGCACTTTGGAAAGCCATATTTTATAATCTCTTTTGTGCTTCGACATCAAGCCTTAATTAGACTAATTATATTTTATTGAAATTAGAACGAATATATCCCCTTAAGTATATACCCCACGGCCAAAACAACGAACACCCCTTGACTGTGCAAACTAACTGTATTGTCTATACATCTAGCATACATATGTATGTTGATCAGGCAGCTCTAACCGGTGCAAATACCGATCCAGAAATACGCATACTTACACAGTGGTGCAATAGAAAAGCTTGTTGCTATGACTAGCGTTGAAAAAGAGGCACATCTAAAACAGCATACCACCCCCATGTAAACTTCAAGCCGTTGCTCTGTTTAACGTATCACTTTGACGAGTTGCAAAAATTAGTCCCTGCTTAAAATCCAGCTCACCAACGTAAGTATGCTAATGGTACCAATTATTCGTCTGTATTACACAAATTCTACCATTATCATCTCAACGACCGTGTTATAAACAACGAAACAACAGTCATGCAGCATGAAAGACTACAGCCCACACAGACCCAGAGCACCGTGTTGCCCGCCGACCGGTGTACGTCGGCAATGTCGATCAGCCCAGTGAGCTTACAGATCTGGTTGAAGAACTCATACTCGCTGGCCCCGATAAAAAAGGTGAGCAAGAAGACACTGATTTCTCCGCTTAATATAAGCACAAAGCTGGGATAAAGCCGAAGCTTCGGCAATAGACTCCCATAAACAAACGAAACGCACACAAACAGACTATAGGCGGCTACAAGGAACGATAGCACCGTCACCCCCAAAACACACCAGGCCACGCACTGGGAAAACTTCTTGAGAAGAATCGTGCTGTGCACAGCGTCCACGCTGCGTTTCTGACTGGAGAGAAACAACTGGAGATTCTGCATTGCCTCTTCGTACGAGTCCACAAATGAATCCCCGACACTCTTGGCGTCGTGTTGCAAGAGCTGGCCCAACTGGTTCCCGAAATCCCTCATGAGGATCGACAAGAGGTCTAGGCCGTAGGACCGTGCACAGAAGGTTTCACCGGTAACGGTGCTTGCGCGACAGTAACCCCAGAAGTTTAAGCTGTAAATGTGGGTGGTGGAAAAGGTGTCTACGATATCCAGGTACGCGGTGACATCTGTTTCTGTCGGACCAAAGTCCTTTGCAAAATACGAAACCACCTTCATGAGCTCCTTTCCAGACAGCAAGATTTCTCTGGCGTGAGGGTTCTGGTCCTTCAATTGGAACGTAAACTGGGGTATACAGAGGTCGGACACACACGTAGGTACCGTGAGGGAAAGCAGAATGGGAACCACCCAAAGAAGAAGCGTGAGCAAGCACACCGTTGTGATAAACAGCACACTGTGGCGATATTGATCCGTGGGTTCCAACTCCAAGAGCACTTTTTCATCAATTTCGGGTGTCAACTGTGTGCGTATGGTATTCCACGGGGTCTGGTCATACATCAGTCTGATGCGTTGCGAGGCGTACCTTAGGGAGATGCCATAGTGGGCCTGTAACGGCGATTCCGTTTTCTCTGGAATGCTTTCTTGGGCGTCTGTCATACAGAGGATGGGTTCATTATAGATTTTTTGACGGACAGCAGTAATATGGATTTGATAAGCTCATAGATTCACCTTGTAGGGTAGAGGTGGAGTGGGTAGCGCATTTGTGGCGTGCGTGCATAGATGCACATGCAAGAGTTGCAACCATTGTAATGTTGCGATATGCATGGAGGTGGGAACATCCTGTGACTAAAAGGCAAGCTTGGAAGGCCAGGATATTATTTATATAAGCAGTGTTGGGGAGCACAGATTTAGAACGTATATATCCTTCTGTGAAACATGAAATCACAGTACTTAGTCATTACGAGGAAGTATTTGATGCACGTCACAAAACAATTCATTAAACCTCTGGGGTAGGAGAAGGCGATAGGCGTCCTGAGACAAACTAGACGCTCGGTCGATGGCTTCATGCCCATGGCCAACAAAATAAATAAAAATTCCACGCTCTAGCATTATTGTAAGTCAATAAGATGCCGTTCTGTGACTAGCTCTCTATTCTATACCGGTCCAAACCATAAGAGGTTGTTCATACACATACCAATGTAACCACGGAAGGCACCCTGCTGATATAGGTCAGATCCTTTCTGTCGGAAGGGCGGTTGAGGTATGCCCAAAAGGTTTTTGGAAACACCAAGAATGTTCTCGATACATATGCTACTAAAACCAGGGCTGTTAACTCAACCCAGATGAAAGGTGGTAGAGCCCATAGGCCAATCGCATTCCAACACTGGTTGACATGCCATGGGGCCAAATACCGCTATAGAGTGCTTTATCAATCCCACCGCCATATAATCCTTTTCTAATTCATATGGGACGGCGCGCGGAGCTCTGGTTGTACAGTTATGAGTGCTTCATATTCCGTGAGATATGAGTGCCCGCGCTGTTTGCGCGCGCTCTGGTGAAATTTCTGCGCGTGCGAGTCGCTAAACCCGTTATAAACCTGGTCGGCAAACACGTTATCGTGGGAGCTTCCCGGATCTTGAAATTCGCGGAATGGCGCGAAAATGACTGACTTGGCGTCTGACTCATACGGAACGTCCCTGAAAGCCGACTGCATCTGGGGAGTTGGCTCCCAGGTGGTGGGATTGGCGCACCAGAGGGGTCCACCCCAGAGGGCGGCGTTCGCCGCTGCCGCACCGAAGCCGATCCAGATGCACGCAAACCAGCGCCGTCCCATAACTAGCATGATCCCAAAGCTTTTTAGCTCATCCGCAATGCGGTTCTGGAGAGTGAACGCGTCAGCGGTTGTGACAGCGCTCGCAACACAGGATGCGAGTACCGTGGCGAGAGAGAGGACTGCAATCCCGTGGTGGAGGAGAGAATCCGAGGTACGTTTCCGAGGTTTTGTAGGGGAGCGGACCCTCGGAGAGCCAACCGTGGAGGAGGGCGTCAGGGAGAAATGGGATTCGTCTAGAAGACGGTGCTTGGTTCGGGTATATGAGACAAATGTCGCGACGAGAATGAGGATCTGGAATACGCCCACACACACATATCCCGCGACATATACGCGCTTCGTGCGGTGCATCGCGGCGAGAAACAGGAGGTACTCCGCATCGCGGTCGTCGCCGTTATATGCGTAGGCCAAAATCACGTCAAGCCCATTTGCGGAAAGCATATCCCGGTAGTCGAACACGTAGTTTGCGTGTGCAGTGTCACACGCAAAGGTGGTAGTACCGGCATCAATTACCCAGTCGCCAGCACTGCCACTCGTGCGGTACGTCACGGTGTAGTTCCCGATGCACCAGCTCCAAAGACCAGAGGCAACAAACTGTGGCGAGCCCTCAACCTGAGTTGCGACGTAATTGCTCAATACGTATATTTCGCTCGCGGTGAAGCCCACGCCGTTCAGGTTCGACGGGTTGTACGATGACGACGACGACGCGATGTTGGATCGGAGTGTCGTAAAGAGCCCCGCTGACACGTCCACATGCGCGAGTGTGAGCGTATACTGGTTGAATCGATCGTTGATGATGTTGCTAAGGAGAGAAACGATGGCTAGGATGACAACCATCAACGAGGTGACGATCCTTGCCACGAAAAACACGCGTTCCCAGGGCGAGAGGTCGATGAACGCGCGCTTGAGTATTCTTGCGCGTAAAAGAAACGAGGGCCACATGGAGGGTATCTGAGAGGGAAAGCAAAAGGGTATAGGCGAGGGTACACGGGTATATAGGTGAGGAAAGAACAGGATATGAGACGGGGGTATACATGAGAGGGTTTTTAAGGGATCAGCTCAGCGTGCAGGCTGCTCTAAATTGGCACGGCGCCGCTAAAAGGCCGTCTTGTTTTTATCCCTCTTTCCAAGCTGTGTTAATGAAAATTAGTCACATTAAGTCAGTATAAAGTAATTATAGTCTAAATAATCGCTTTGATAGATGCTTTATTATTTTCCAACCCTTTCAATTCCGCACTTTGTGCATGGTCGTATGTCTACTTTCTGGTTGACCCTATTCCAGATGTGTCTGTCCCCAGGCCTCTTCCTGGGCCTAGGCCAAGAGGGAGAATATAAGTGAAAGGGATGCTGTTTTTAGAAATGTTTTTACACTGGTGGTTAAGAAAAAAAAAGATGAATATTGAGCTTGAATTAAGATACGATGGGGAATAGTAATCCTGGCAATGGTTACAGTATCAATAAGGGGTAGTAATGGGATATTACGGGTATTTAAAATAAATCTAAACGAAGATTAATGCGTGAAATAAAAGGAACCAAGAATAGAGGCTGTTCTAGACCATATTGTATGGTTTGATATCTCCAGAAAAGTTAGTGCAAGTGGTAATCTAAGCCCAAAAGAGGGAGGTGGGCATTTTCTCTCATGCTAGCAATAGTACCTAAAACGTAATGTTATTCCGTCATGATTAGTACATGATAGTTGGTCCAGATGAGTAACGTATCTCGGGCAGAATCACTTTCTTCTCTAAATGGTGCCATGGGCCATGTTGGAACTGCTCAAATCGGTTTGGTACATATGATTTAATGGCCGACGTGGATACTACCGGTATCTGGAGCTGGAATAAAACTCCGTGTAGCCTACAACTGAACCGACATCTGGTGAACGTACAACCAAGAATGGCCTGTCTGTCAGCCCCATGCACAGGTAAATATGAGAACATGGTGATAGATTAACCCTTATTTCAACGTCTACAACTGTATATAATGAAGTTGGCTGTAATCTAAATATGACTGTATGTAGGAAGACTATTAAAAGAGTAGGAGAGAAAGGCCACAAGTGTGGGGAGAAATGAACAAGAATGCAAATGAACGCTAAGCGTGAGGACAGAGGTTAGGCGGGGTTATAAGATTAGGAATGAAAAACGGAACGTGGGGAACAGGTGGGTTCGAGATTAGACGGCAAGCAAGCACGAGACGATTGGCAACGGAAGAATTTGAGGATCCACCAGTTATCAACAGTAGGAGTTACTCAATCGGGGGAGATAATCCAAGATTAGTTATTAACAGTAGGATCATCAGCGTCGTAGTCGGGTACGATCCAGACTAGTTTTCAACAGTTTGGATTCCAACCGCTACCCGGATATCTGACGGTGCATGGCAATAGAGATGGCCTTGGAGGCTTTAATTAAAGAACTGTAACTTCACGTATCATGACTGTCAATTCACTTATGAAGGACGACAGTCTGTTCACGTTGAAGAATTCCGCGAGCTAGCCTAACGATACCTTGACCTCCCGGAAGCCTCTGCGATTTCGTCGATTGGTCGTTGGAACATAAAAGCCACTCGTTAGACCTTTGGGAAAAATCGATAGCCAAAACAGACATATGAACCAGGGTAAACAGGTAGCAGACCGGAACGGTTTGCCATTCATCGATTTATCCTCGATCAACCAACTCACTTTTCTATCACCTCTACGGGCGAATCGCAGTGCAAACACTTATAACAAACCTTGTCCATCTCGTCACTCCATACACACTTGCCCCGCTTCTTCATCGTTGTCCACTCACCCTTCGCCGGAATTCGCCCGCAGCTCGCGGCAAGACACCGCGCACCCGTCTTTTTATACCGCAAACCACACGAGTTGCACAACTGTCCCGCAGCCGTGGACCACAGCGGACGCCAGCACGGTGACTGGTCGGAGCCACAGGAGATGCAGTGACGGCGCCCTGGCGATTTGGGCGAGCGCGGCGTCGTGTGGGCCTTTTTTGGTGATACGGGCAGACGCGGCTTGGGCTGTGGCGCAGGCACTGCACGGTGGGTCTGCGGTGAGGCGAGCGCAAACGCGGGGCGGTATTCCGCGAGCGGTGCCTCCGGCGGCGGTAATACGTGCGGGGTAAACGCAGGGGTCTCCCGGACCTCAAGCCGCGGTAAAAACGGAGTGTATTTTTCCCGAGGAATCTCCCTCTGGTTCCAACTGAGATCAATCCACTTCTGCTTGGTTTCGGGGGTCTCGTGGCTACGACGTTTGTGGGATTGTTCTTGGCTTGGATGGTAGAGGTACCCATCACCGCTGTGGTACCGACTGCCAAAATGGTACATCTTTTCCTCGTGCCACAAACGATCCTTATAGTCCTGCTCGGTCATTTCGTGCACATTGGCAGCCTCTCTGACGTCGACGAGGTCTGCAAAGCCGGAGAGCGGCGAACGATTGATGTAGTGGCGGTACTGTGACGAATTACCGTAGGCGTGGCCATTGGCAGTGTAGCCGTCGGTTGCCGCCCCGGCCTGGAGGTCACGGCTAACAAGCTCTGCTGCAGACTCTGCCGGGCTGGCGGTGAGGCTGGGGCGAGTCTCAGGCGAGACAAACACCTTCTGCAGATGTGTGTACGCGTCCGGCCGGTCGTACGTGTAGTGTGCAGCAGCAGACTCGTACGGGTAGTTCAATGTCGCCGCCGGCGACGACGGCTTCGACATGCTAGAAAGCAACCGCGCAGCCAACGCGTCCACTTGGGTCATCAGCCCGAATGTAACCTGCACCGCACGCACCTGCGGCGTCGCCGCGGGCGTCGCCTGCATGATTGCGCTTAAGCCCTGCGACGACGCCTGGTAGCGTCCAACGTCCTCCGAGCTGGAATGCAGAAGGCTTGCCGCTTGCTTGTACGGGTCACCGTACTCGAGCGACGCTGGCGGCACGATCGTGTTTAGTACGCTATCCAAGCGCTGCTGGATGTGGGCGAAAGAGGGTAAAGTCACCGGGGGGTTTGGAGATGGGGAACTGGAAAGGTGTCTCGCAAACTTACGTAGCGGCGAGGAGGAACGCGCGCGCACACGAATCTGGTTCGCGTCATACGGCGGTGAAGGCGGGGCCGTACGCGCGCGCTTCGCGGTGAGCTGGTCGTCGCGCGCACGCGTCGCAGTGAGTGGATCGTCCAACTGCACGCAATCGAACGATCTCTTGCGCATTGTCACGGGAGTTTTCAATTGAATTTCCGCATGGAACGGTTTGGAAGATACAAACAGCCGCGGAAGCGACAACGACTGGCGGTGCACCTGCGAGTTTGGCGGGGACACCAAGCCGATAGAACTGGAGGGCGGCGTGGAGCTGAACTTGCGCTCTGTAAAGTCGAGAGATCCGGGCGACACTGGGTTCATCTGGAAAATGTTCATGAAGATGAGGGTTTGTTAGGGATTTGAGAGTTGGGTGGGAACTGGGAGCAGGTAAATTGATCTGATAATGGCCTTGCCGATTTGAGCAGGGGATGCGACTTGAAAGCTATGGCGATGCGACTTGAAAAAATGGCAATGTGATTCGAAAGAAATGGGCTAAACGGTAATGATGCAGACTTACTCTGGAATGGGGAAAATCCGAAATGGAAACTCTCTTGGATAGCAAGCACGATCTAGAAGTCTAGTTTGGGGGTGAAAGATTGGGATCTGAAGCGAAGGTGGTTATAGTCTAAAGGAGCTTGGGAGGTTTTTTAGCGAATGGGAACCGGTGGGCTTATATACGTCCAGTAAATGGTATCGCAGATCAGCTACCTAGACGATTGTTTAGCTTCAGGTGAAAGACAGAAGAATGTGAGTTTAGATCGAGATCAAGAGAAAAATCGGGGTGGTTGGCTCAGTACGGTTTCAGTCGCGTTGCAGCCCATTGGGACGTAGACGACTAACTGGGAGCTGCACGGTTAAATATAGCAAGCGTCATTTGTTAGCGAAAAATGCGGCGAGAGAAGGCTGGTGCATGGCCATGCGCCATTTCGGTGCATCTTGTATTCGTTTATCCTATTGCGGTAGCCACTTGGCTTTCCTATTCAGGAATTTTTTAGACATTGACCTCTTAATGACTTGCATGAAGCGCGCTATAATATATGCTAATCACGTGATATTTTGAGCACTGCACGCCTGAAAAATTAGCGGCTGATGGCTGGCTATACATCTGCACCCTTTCTATCAGCGCCTCCCTTACCTCTCTGTGCATCCAAACATGTCAGATCCAAGTATGTATGCCCCTGAGACCAGGATCCCGGATCACTAACCGTCAGCTGCGCCGCTCGAAGCGTTCATCAAGAAGATTTTTGCGTCGCTCGATGCGTCGTTGTCCTCCATCTCCCCGCCCCCAGCCTCCCCAGAGCAGTACATCGCCCACTTTGTTCCACAGCTCAAGCAGACATCGCCAGTGATAGTCAATGGCTCGCCTATTGCTGGTAAAGGGCCGTTCCAGGCCTCCTGGGTGAAGAGTCCCTTGACTCAACATCTGTTGACGAGCTACGACGGTCACGCAATGCCTCCGAACGGCCAGCTCATGGTGGTCAACTGCTCCGCTAAGGTTAGATTTGACGAAAGTGGCCGAAACCGCATGGGTGAAACCGCCGATCTTCCCCAGGTCGTAGGAGCGGCTTCCACCGGGCCCGCCAGACCCTCCTGGGGCGACTGGTTTGGGGTTAATTTGACCTTTATTGTCGACTTGCCTCTGTTGAAGGCAAACGATATGGGAGAGTGTATTGAGAGCTTGAACTGGCGCTGTACCTACAAGCCTGAGAGTTCTGTTGTGTCTATGTAGAACGATGCAGCTGGGAGATGGATGGGTTCTACAGGGCTAATAAATGATAAATGACCGTTTTAGCATCAAATAGGGAGTACAACCGTAACGGCAGTGCCAATAGATATCTATAAAGCTGACTTGAATAACAAGGTAATTCCGCTATATCGTCGATAGCAAGGTAAATATGAAACAGCGGGGCTAAGCGAATTAGAAAAAGAAACCCGACGCGGGGGTCGAACCCGCAACCTTGTGATCGCGTACTGCTAAGAGTCACACGCTCTACCGATTGAGCTAGCCAGGCTTTTCTTAGAGCGCCGCGACTGGGAGTTGGTGACCCAGAGCCAAATACCCATATCTCTCGATTCATAAGCTCTATGTTAAATAAAAGATAAAGCCAATACTTTATCCGAATACCGTATCAGACCATCGCTTATGGTCTCAGCTATGAATGGTTTTTTTTTTTCTTTTTTTCAGCAATCCTACCTATGTGCTTTCCTACAATGATACCCCTTTTATGAACAGCTTTTCATTTCTGACTAGTACTATTGTCCATAGATTAAAATATATATATATATATACTAGTATGAGCCGCTTGCAAGCCCTAACCAAATACACGTGACCATGCTTACTCTAAGAAATCTCTCAGTGCCAGGAGCCCTGCGAATGCGAAAAATTTTGTAGCGTGCGCGAAACCTCCCGAAGATTTTCCACCTCGGCTGCTGATATAAAGAAATCTTTTGCACGTCACTTTCTTTCTCCCCTTTGAAACCGTACACACAAATCGCAAAAATGGGTAGAGATCACTTCACTAAGCAGCACGCCAGATCTGGTCACAGATCTGCTCCAAAGTCTGACAACGTCTACTTGAAGTTGTTGGTCAAGTTGTACTCTTTCTTGGCTCGTATGTATCATCCCGTTGCTCATCCAAGCGCTGCTAGTATCTGTCACAGGGTACTCCAAGCAAAACTTTCGCATTACAATTTTTAGGGCTCCCAGACGCTATTGTCCCTTTTAGCTAGGCCGTTGGAAGCTTCCTCCAAATCTCGATTTTACTTCGGTGATTGGACGATGGACCCAGAAGGGCTCCATCAGATCTGTTGATCATGAAAAGAACTTATCCCTGTACCAAAGATATTTGTTTTGATTCGCACGCCAGTTGATGATTACACCCGAAATGGCTTGACTTTGCGAGTTTCAGTGAACATACTGATAGTTATTTGCTTCGTCGCCGAGTTCTTTGAACAATTACGGTTTCGGTCTTCCTTCTAGCGCCTCAGCCACCAGTGGTTGGTTTTATCTGATACTCATATTTGGGGATACGACCGCAATGGCCCAGCCATTCATTCTTTTCCTTCTGCGAGTGCAAAATCTTAATGTGCGACTTTTGAGCAGAAACGTGTGCCCCCTGTCCGTATACTAACCCGTTATAGGTCGTACCGATGCTTCTTTCAACAAGGTTGTCTTGAAGTCTTTGTTCTTGTCCAAGATCAACAGACCACCAGTGTCTGTCTCCAGAATCAACCGTGCCTTGAAGCAAAAGGGTGCCGCCGAAAAGACCATCGTTGTTGTTGGTACCGTCACCGACGACTCCAGATTGTTGTCTTTCCCAAAGACCACTGTCGCCGCTTTGAGATTCACCGCCGGTGCCAAGGCCACCATCTTGAAGAACGGTGGTGAAGCTATCACTTTGGACCAATTGGCTTTGAGAGCTCCAAAGGGCCAGAACACCTTGTTGCTCAGAGGTCCAAGAAACGCCAGAGAAGCTGTTAGACACTTCGGTATGGGTCCACACAAGAACAAGGCCCCAAGAATCTTGTCTAAGGGTAGAAAGTTCGAACGTGCCAGAGGTAAGAGACACTCTAGAGGTTTCAAGGTGTAAGTTAGATAACCCCATCTGTCTGTCCTTCACTGTGACGCATTTGCCGTGCAAACTGTTGGATCGTTGGTTTTGTCATGCAAGTCTATATTTTCTACTGTTTGCGTCTAATTTAATCCTGCTTCTGTTGTAATATAGTTTTACGTGTATTCACTCCATTGTAGGCCAAGTTCAAATGATGGCATATTCGTTTTCGGAAAGAGGAGGCCGTGCGGCTGACGATAAGCAAGTTGGGTATTCGAGCAATGGCATGCTCCGCCATACCCTAAGCTAGGTTTATATAGCTTGGTTTACATAGCTTGGTTATTGACATACATCGTCTCCATCCGGATAGTTGTTTCGCTGTTTCACCATGCTCCTTATCGACGGCGGGCCCGTCGTGCATCAGCTGAGGCTTTGTTTACAGGACCTTCCGCTGGACATTCTCGGGCTTATCTGTTTCTACCTACTTCCCATTAACCCGCCCATAGACCAAGTTGCCAAGCTACACAGTCCAGCGTTCACCTTCGTTCCCGTGAAGTGGCTCAGGTACATGACACCCAATGCTCCACCTGCCTTCCGGCCGGTGACCGCTCTCTACTTTGACCAAATGCTCGATTTGGCAAGCTTGGCCCGTACCTGTGTGGCCTTTTACTCGTATGTTACCAAAGTAGCATTTGAGATGACACACTACTATAGATTGATTGACCACAACACCAGTTTTGTCAGAGAGAGCTACCTCGGCTCGTTCGTTGGTGCTCCTGACCTGCGCGTAATCAGAGAGGTGTCAGAGAGGAAACAAGCCCAATGGAGGGATTTGCTAGCCTCAAGGGCAAGCTTGGTTAGCTCTAGCTTTAGCCAAGACTGGAACTTTGTCCAGAAGCGCATCTCATATTTGGAAGTGGCTACGTTTGAAGATTTGGAGAGGTTCTGTGAAACTTCGGCGAGGTTCGGTCTTGACTATGTCACTGCCATCAATGAATTGAAATTGTTGATCCTGGTTGATAACATGAAGACAGATTACCCTCCCTGGATATTGAAGCGGTTGATGGTGAATTCGTTGGCCGTGCAGTTCCACCCCGATACGTGGGGTCAACTTCTGAGTCGGGTGTGTTTTGATCGGGTGAGTCGTTTGGATTTGTTGCTAAGTCTGAAGCTCTTTGACGGAAGAAGCCCTGTATTACAGACGGGGGTTTACGAAAATACCCTGAGCCACCTCTTTCCTCTGCTAAAACACCTATACATCTATCTGGATTGCAATCCCGCTGGAATATTGGCTAGTGAGAATTTCTCAACCCTTTGGGAGTTCTCCCGGCTCGAGCTGTTTTCGGTACGATACACAAAATCTCACGATGTTTACCGGACCAAAAACAGCGGTGGGATGATACGTCTCCTTCACAGGTTTACCCGTGTCCGGTCGTTTTCCTCGAGGTGCAAAATCCTGCTTGACGAAAAGTTCATCGGTGACTTTGTAACAAAACAGGCACTTGATGAAATTGACAGCATTCTAGCCCGCGATACGGGTGCCAGGGGGGAAACCAGTCGTCTAAATTGCTTTGAGTGGACCGAAGAATCCTTTATACAGGTTACCGACGCGGCAAGCTTGGAAAGACTCACTAGCTTGATTGCTTTCCTTTCTCCGGCAAAGCTCTCATTCAAGTTTGGCCAACAAGTGGAAGTGCCGTACAACAGCGAGATAAACTTTATCACAATGCTATTGAAGAGACTCGTAGCCAAAACCCGTGGGGCTGTTACGGTTGATAAGGTGGCGGTAGAGATGTGCTGGAGGGTAATCGACGATTCTGTTTTCTACAAAGCATACAAATCTCAAGGGGCCAAGTTGCATTCGTCTGGGAAGCCTACGCTCAGTCCCCCCGGTTCGGCCCTTCCGCCCCAGGAGATGCTGGTGGCACCAATTGTAGGGCCATGGAGTAGATCAGGCCAAAACTTCACGCGCTACCGCCAGGTAGAAAACTATCTAGTAGGTTATTCCCCCTCGGTTAGTTTAACTGTTGACAGAGATGGGGAGCCCGAGCAGGATCACTTCTGGAGCATTGACACCTGTCTAAATGATTTCGAGCAGTATTGCTTCCCTGCAAAAAAGCGAAGCAGTCTTTGGGATTAACCATATATAAGCATTATTATTTTACCAAAGCAAAAATAAAAACCACTATATGGTACACCCAATTGATGAATTATGCTGCAGTGTCATGCCCTTTTGGCGGGGTACAACATTTTGAATGTGGCAGCTAAATTCATGTAGTGGGGCGTTCTTAAAATCACTTGTGACTTGCTTTTTATTTCTTTGCGTTCTTCACAGAATGCAGGTGTATATTTCAGTATACATGTATTTTTCGCGCCGGCGCGATTGTCGATCCCCTCTCCTTGCCTCTCGCTACTGAGCGCCGAAAAGGCAAAAGGGCGAAAAACTTTCACCTCCAATTTGGCGCGGCTCGGAATTGGTGCTCCCGCGACCTTTTCTCTTCTGCTGTTTTGCCTCAGTATGAGTGTCCCGGGCTCGTATGCAGTATGGTCCTCCCACTAATGTTAGGAATCTCAGTGTAGCGTTCAGCCGATTCTGTAGGCGCGATGTGTGGTGCGAATTTTGGGTGCGAATTGTAGGGTGGAAAAAAGTGAATAGTTAGTTAAAAGTGTTGTCTAACTACGGTTTTGAAAGACTCTCTTAGAAATATAAGCAACAACAGACAACATGCCAGGTTTTTCCGTTAGGTATGTTTGAATAATGATCCCGAGAGTTAAATGAACCACAAGAGAGTGCCGCGGTGATATGCCCAAACAGAGAAGCCAGGAGTGAAAATTTTGACGACTCCACGCGAACAGCGTACAATGCTGCCTGAAGCCCGGTGCTATGGCTTTGCTGTTCCCTTGCTTGGGATCTGCCATGATCAAGTCTCCGTACCTCGCACTCCCAATTAAGAACTACCATGACCACCCGGCCTTGCTCTGATCATTTAGCCTCATGACCTCTGATTCCAGTACTAACACCCCTCTAGAGACGTTCCAGCTCAAGATTTCATCAACGCTTACGCCCAGTTCTTGCAGAGACAGGGTAAATTGGAGGTTCCAGGTTACGTTGACTTGGTCAAGACCTCTGCCGGTAACGAGATGCCACCACAGGATGCCGAAGGTTGGTTCTACAAGAGAGCCGCCTCCGTTGCTCGTCACATCTACTTGAGAAAGCAGGTCGGTGTTGGTGCTTTGAACAAGTTGTACGGTGGTGCCATCAACAGAGGATCCAGACCACAGAGACACGCCGACGCTTCCGGTTCCGTCAACAGAAAGGTCTTGCAGGCTTTGGAAAAGGTCGGGATCGTTGAGGTTTCTCCAAAGGGTGGTAGAAGAATTACCGATGACGGTAAGAGAGATTTGGACCGTATCGCTGCCCAGACCTTGGAAGAAGATGACGAATAAATGCATTATTAGTTCTTAATTATTTACCAATTTTTGACATATAATCATCTTTTTAACTCCTTTCCTTTTCAACGAAATATTAAAAACTATAGTTTTAGGACTCTGTAGCCGTGAAGTATCTATAACTTTCATGGCAGACTATGCCCAGTAGTGCTGAAGCCCTTGGTAAATATCGGCTCCATGGGACAAGAGTTGAAGTTCTCGATCATTCACATCGTATTTTCGGACACCCAGGTGCATAGCATTGGTATCGGCGGGTACGGTTTAATATGAACGTTAAAACTTCTGGTCCCGAATACCAGGGCGTAACTGAACCCCTACGCAACAAGGGCCTATAAGGCTCATATTCGACTGCCGTCACATTTGTCATGAAATCCGGTGTCGAGACTAAAAGCTCTAAGTGTCGGAAGGGACATTTGAAATGCCGGTGAGCCTACAAACGTCTTCCGTGCCTATCAGCATCCATGTTTTTGCTCAGAATTCAAGCTGTGTGATCTGGATATGGCATTACCAGAGACAGCCGTCCAAACTTTCCGACGAGCCTCCAAGGTTGAACGGGCTTCGGCAAACCGGCAGAGGTCACGAGGCATGCGGCTCGAGGCACGTCGTATATCGCATTAATTTTTCACTTGGGACGTGGGGAAACAATCGCCACCGCTATACCTAATAACTTTTGAGGGGATTTTATTGCTTTCTATTCCTGGTTAAAGTATCAGCCCAAGCAGTCTATCCTTTATCTCTATGTTGAGATTAGTCCTGACTCCTCGGTCGGGTGTCCGAACCTTCCACGCCTCCAGCAAGTGGTTCTCCCATCACCCCAAGCCAAACTCCGAATCTGACATCCAGCTGAACCCGCATAGTTCCAGGTTCGTGTTAACACAAAAACCCCGTGAGGAGTTTGTTCTGGGCTATCCTCCACTCAAAAAACCGGCCAAGATCAATCTCGAATACCTCAACAGGCTCCTGGCGCAGAAGACCCCCATCACGGTGCTCACAGCCTACAACTATGCCACATCCATGATGGTGGATGCTCATGCTGATATCACCCTCATCGGTGATTCGCTTGCACAGGTGGCTCTAGGATACTCGTCCACTAACGAAGTGCCATTTGACGAGTTTCTCTACGCGACCAAAGCAGTCATGCGCGGCAACAAGTACTCTTTTGTCATCGCAGACTTGCCGTTTGGCTGCTTTGAAGCATCCGTCACCCAGGGGGTGGAGGCCAGTTTACTGTTGGTACGCACAGGGGTAAATGCCGTGAAGATTGAGGGTGCACAGGAACACAAGGAGCTCATTGTCCGCCTTACCAGTCTCGGGATTCCGGTTGTGGGCCACATTGGCTTGACCCCTCAACGGATCAATGCGTTGTCTGGGTTCAAGGTCCAGGGCAAAAACGTGAATGATGCTGTCAAGATCTACAACCAGGCAAAGTCGCTTGAGGCGAGCGGAGCCGTAATGATAGTTTTGGAATGCATTCCCACCAAATTAGCTCAGTACATTACTGACAATCTCTCCATCCCAACGATTGGGATTGGTGCAGGGAAGCATACTTCGGGTCAGGTCTTGGTCTTGAGCGATATTCTCGGGTTTTTGAACCCCGCAGAGACCCACAGACCAAAGTTTGTTAAGAGATACCTCCCGGGGTATGAGCTCGGCACGTCGATGGTGTTGGATTACGTAGAGGAAGTCAAGGGGGGAGTCTTTCCGGAATCGGGCAAGCACGATTATAAGATTGATGACGGAGTGTGGGCCCAATTTCTCGCAAGAGTGGGTGAAGAGGCGTGATAAATTCTGTACATGTAAAAATATAAACATAGATGCAATGCTGGGTGTATAAGAAAATAAAAGTAAAGTAAAGGGTATGGTGTAACATTGTATTCCGCCCCATGTTTATCTTTTATCTTTGTAATTGAATTATCAAAAGGTGATGTTTTAGTAATCGGAGCGAAGAGAAAATTTGAGGAGAAATTTCATGCTTCAGTGTAAAAATAAAAGCACGATATAATAGTAACCTTGGCTTGGTTACATCTATTATAGCACCTACAACCATGGTGGAATGAAAGTCCCAATGATCGCAACCACGGCTATACACCCGTTGTTTAGGCCGGTTTCTCGCGACAATTGCTAGATATTGTGGCCGGTCTCTTTTATCCGCTTCTACAAGGTTTAAAAGGTTTAGTTTCCCTCGGTTGGGTATGCTAGAAAGATTTTGTATAAATGATTTGAAACCCTTATGCGGTTAGGCACTAAACTAGATAGTTCTCTTACTCTCACCGGTTTAATTGGACAAGCACAAGAGGAATATTTCATGGAACTGTCAATAGAAATTTTTCAACACGAGCCAGGATATTTTCCCAAAATTTTCCTCTGCATAAGTTCCTTTTTCTGAAGGCGTGAACCCAATCCCTTGATAATAAAGCTCGTCGCTATAGAAAAGTATCGTTGGGTGGAGCCAAGAATGGTGCACTATAACTATACGTATTTGTTATAAGCTGCATATGTACAGTAAGCTGTTAACTGAAAATAAGCCATGGATTCAGAATCGCCAGTACGCCAATAATGAGCAAACATCAAAGAGATATAACCAACCTCCTACCTTAGACAGTTGGAGTCTAGCAAATCAATATGAACGTAGGAACTGCAGCGATGGAGAGGCCGAAAATCGGCACTGTCTGCTCCATTAATCAATTCTGTAATAATATCTTGGTGGCGTCGAAGCTCGAGTTCTGATACAAACTTGCCCAGTGTTTATAGTATCTCTGCTAATAAAACATTTGCGTTTCTTAGTGCTACATAACCTCTTTTCCCGATTATCTTATCCTGTCACGGTCCTCTGTGACGTCAGCCCGCAGTGCAGGATACCTCGGATGCAATGACACCGAACGAGTATATCAATCATCTTTCTCGCACTTCCTCTTCGCTTCGCAATTCTCTTCATACCACAATCTTCGTCACAATGGAGTTGAGCACATCAAATGCCACCTTGTGGTACTTTCCGCCGGATGATCAACACGCCAGTCCGCGCTATGCCGTTCTGACCGCGGAGTACGCAGAGAGCGACATCCGCGACTTGACCCCCCGGGACGTGATTCTCATCAGACCCGCTGGAATGAATGGAGAGAGCCAGGATGATGAAAAGACGGAGAAAATCTTTGATGGTGATGAAAACCTGGGCAACCTCTGCGTGGTATTAAACGACCGGGTGATTGGACGGATGGCGGAGACTTCGATGCCTCAATTATCGCGCTTTGTTTCTGCCTGGATGGAGGGAATTTCCCTTGTAGAGCAGGAGCTGTCAAACACCAGTGCCGTGCATTTGGAAGACTATTTGGTGGCCCATTACGATGAGTTCATCCAACACAGAGACCTCAGGTTTCGTTTGGTCACCTGGAATTTACATGGCGCCGCGTTGTACAACGCCAGCACCCAGGTCTTGTGCCAGATGTTCCAGCCAGAAGCACTCGATGTGTATGTGGTTTCATTCCAGGAGACAGTGCCGCTAACCCCCCAGCCCCCTCAGCTTTTTGGCGAAACGCCCCAGCAGCTCTGGAGACAGAGGTTGCTCCAAGTGTTGAACGAGAGGCCTCAGTCGGAGGAGACATACACCCTAGTGGCTGAAAACAAGCTCATTGGCTTAACTACCCTTGTGTTTGCCAGATCTTCGATCGCAAAACAGATCGGAAACGTTGAACTCCAGGTGGTGGAGACTGGTTTTTTGGGCTTCTGGGGCAACAAGGGTGCAGTGGTGATCAGTTTTCTGCTTGGGGTGGACCCCATTATTGTGGCATCCACACGTGCCACGAATAGACGCTTCCAAAGGGCCAAGGCCCACACGTTTGTGCTTTTAAACTGCCATCTCGCGTCGGGTTACGATTCGTCGATGTTACTTAAGCGTAGGAAGGAGCTTGCCGAGATTCAGCGCCGTGCCAAAGCGTTGACCCGATCGGGAATCCAGTTGGTGAATGATAGTTCTGAGTTAGATGTCAGAATGAGTAGCGCCCTCACGGAAGAGTTGGAGTTTGACGTCGAGTCGGATGAAGAAGGAAAGGTTTTAGGGGATGATCATAGAGATGAAGGGTTTGGTGGCAGAACCTCGGGAAGTGAAGAAACTAGGGCAGGTAATATCTCGAAACGAGCGCCCGGTGGTGCCGAGAAAGAATCAGAAGGGTCGGAAAGGGTATCTCTAAGCCCCTCTGAAACCCCATTGGATAAGGAAACTATCCTTGAGAACTCCGATACCACCTCTAGCAAGGAATTTATCAGCCATTCCCCTAACTTCGTCCCACTAGTCTTCTTCAACGGTGACCTCAACTACCGCATGGCTATCGACGACCGAAAGGTCCAGTACTTGTACAAACGCAGAGACTACGAGAAGTTGGCAATCCACGATACCTTGGGCCAGGAGATCCGCAACCACCACGTTTTACCAAACTTCAAGGAAGGCACAATCGCCTTTGCTCCCACCTACAAGCTCAAGGTACGTAGCGACGAGCTGGACCCAATCATCATGGAGGACGCTGACACTCCAGAGAGCTTGGAAGATGAGGGATTGCAGTACAATCCTTCCAGGGTGGCGGCCTACACCGATAGAATTTTCTATCTTCCCACTCCAGCCGTAGCCACAGAGCTCATTCAGGACCGCTACGGCTCCATTGAATCCATGGCGCATATGAGCGACCATATCCCGGTGTTTTCCGACTTTACGCTCCGCGGTGCGAGCCTTATCGACTTTGAGGCGCGGTCCGAGTTGATGAAGGGCTATTTCAAAAAGCTTGACGATGTGGAAAATGATAACCGTCCTAGTGGTATCACCGTGGAGCCGGTTGACATCACCCTTGAGGGCGTTCGGTGCGGGGTCCCCGTCACCACTGAGGTTACACTCGCCAACAACGGTGCTCAGGCGATTGAGTACGGAGTGGTCTACGGAAACGAAGAGGGCGAAAAGGATTCCATTCTCGTCCAAAACTGGCAGCTAAACGAGGCTTACCACTATGTTTCGTCAGATAATATCAAGGTAAAGATCGAGCCCGCAGGAGGGACGGTGGCGGCGGGGGTCACACAGACCATCACTATCACCACCCAAATGCCCATCGGATACTCGGGAACTGCTAGCAACATGTACATCTTGCGGGTGTTCAACGCCCAAGACTGGTTTGTCACAACCCACATGGCGTTGCAGCTGTCTTACTTTGGCCGCCTGTTGAAAAATATGGCAGGGAGCAGTGGCGCCATTCCTCAGGCGGTTTACACCCTAGTGGACTACCTCACCCGCCATCCGCACGAGGATATGTTCAGCACCCGTGTGTCCTACACCACCCTGTTGGAAGCGCTCATCAGGGCCACCATCGATGACGACAAGTTGTTGGAGACAGAGCCGGCCATTTTCAAGGAAATCCAGCTAGCTAACGAAAAGGCGAGTGGCGACGGGATCAGAGCCGTTGCAAAAACTCTCGTGTTGTTGTTACGCAGCATGAAGGACGAGGGTGAGACGGGAGGGAGCATCTTGACCAGTACTGAAACTGAGACTCTCCTCGACCAGATGCCTGCGGACTTGGTGGCATACCTCCAAAGACAACAGAAGGACACAGAGATGCAAACGGTGCAGACCTACGGCCCGGATCTTATGAGCTACCTACTTGAGTCACTTCCGCCGTGGAAGGCCAATGTGTTTATCTACCTCTGCTCCTTCTTGCGCTTGCTTGTGCAGAATGGGCACGATAGTGGCGAGCTCATCCAAATCTTTTCTGACTTGTTAATGAAATTACCTCGCCAGAAAAAGCGTGATCTCGGGGTGTCTTACCGCCGGTGGAAGTTCAGACGGGACTTGGTCCTCTGGGGCACCGTCGTCGCCTAAGAAGTGTATGAAGATTATGTGTGTTAATAGATAGGTAAAACTTTAGTGTGGGCATTTAAAAGGTGAGGGTGTGGCGTATAGAGTCAAGTATTAACTCTGTTGATGCCCCCTTCCGTTGACCCCTGGAAGAACCGTTTTTAGTGGCATTTGCGCCAGGAATTTCTACGGTCAAACAGGGTAAACGTAGTTATACGAGGTTACGGGACCCAGTAGAATAACTGTACCATTGAATCAGATAGACTGTTTCTATGCTGAAAAATTATTTAAACTGTACTTTCATGAGATTATTTGGCGCAAACGCTATGTCTTATCGGCTTGCGGAGCCGCCGAGGATATTTTTCCATATATCCTGTGTGCTTTGAATTTTGCATTCTCTTAGCTATATTGATACGTCATAGTGTAAAATATGAGAACTTGAGTATATATATGGCCAGACGGATTTCCATATATGCGCCAAATCCAACTTTTAGTTCATTATTTCCATATGATTGTACTATTTCTTGGGATTAATGAATAATACACCTATCTAAATACTTTTAGCGGCAAGTTACAATGTATAATTAGAAAGCAAGTTTTAATAGTGTTATGAAAATAACAACACATATTAATTGTTGAACTATTATATACTAATTGCCAAAATGTTTTTAGTATAGATAATATTTCCGATAGTATACACGTGTATTTATGCACTAATTAAGGAATAAATATATTAATGTAAAAGTACCTACTGATGCAGACGCGACCTAAATATATAACCGCATATTAGAAACCATATTATAACAATATAGCTTTATCAGATTCATGTAATGGCCGTTTGGCCGAGTGGTCTAAGGCGTCTGACTCAAGATCAGATCTCGTAAGAGGCAAGCGTTCGAACCGCTTAGCGGTCATTATCTTTTTAGCTTTTTCCGGCATGTTCTTTGCCAGATAAAATATCTAATAGTCGTATACTTTTGTCTACGAGTATATTCTTATCATCAATACATCATGCGGAGATTTTACGGCTTTCCAAATTCTCCTATTTTCCTTACCCCCCCGTTAAGAATAATTTTATCCTCTATGTTGTCAGCTTCTGGACTGGTCCAGAATGAACCGGTTGGAAACTCGTAGATATCAAACGCTTCTGGCTTGACCTCGACTGAGTACCCTGGGTCTAACGGAGTGATAATATGACCAGTCTGGTCAACTTCGCTTGGATGCTTGAACCACTCATGCAAGTGGGTCACATACTCCAAAATGGACTTTTCACCGCTGATAACGACATAGTCAATGGTGGAAAGGTGCTGGGTGTACTCTGGCAAGCCTACCCCACCAGAGTGAGGCACAACCGGCACGTTAAACTTCTTGGCGAGGAGCAAGACCGCCAAAACCTCGTTGACACCACCCAACCTGCAGGAATCCACCTGACAAATGTCGATGGCACCGCTGGCGAGGAACTGCTTGAACATGGTTCTGTTCTGGCACATCTCACCGGTGGCCACTTTGATCCCGTCCGCCAATAGGGCCTTCTTGATCGCCAAATGACCCAAAATATCGTCTGGAGAGGTGGGTTCTTCGATAAACCACGGCTTGAACTCTGCCAACTGCTTAACGTATTCGATGGCCTTTGGAACAGACCAAACCTGGTTGGCGTCGATCATGAGTTGATTACCGCTGTCGTAGCCGATAATGTCACGCACCAACTTGAGACGATGCTGGTCACGGGCCAAGTTTCCACCCACTTTCACTTTGAAGTGTTTGAACCCCAAATTCATGGTTTCCGTCAACAAGCTCTGCATTTTCTCGTCGCTGTAGCCTAACCAACCGGCAGAAGTGGTGTATGTGGGAACAGCTCTGTTGGCCAAGGTTTCAACAATTCTCTCCTCTTTCCCAGCCGCGGTCTTCTTCAACATAGCGACCGCTTCCTCTGGGGTCAAAGCATCCGTTAAATATCTCCAATCGACGCAGCTGACCAACTCTTCCGGGGTGAAGTCCGCCACCAACCTCCAGAGAGGCTTTTCGACGGACTTTGCCCACATATCCCAGATAGCATTTACACACGCCCCAAGCGCAAGGTGGATCACACCTTTCTCTGGGCCGATCCATCTCAACTGAGAGTCGCTCACCATATCTCTCCAGGTAGCCCCAATATCAGTAACCAACGACTCCAAGGCTTTGCCCTTTAACCGCTCCCCAAAATACTGCATGGCATAGCACACGATATCGTTCCCTCTGCCGATGGTAAAGGTCATACCGTGGCCATTCACCCTCTGGTTGTCAGTGTGGAGGATGATGTAGGCCGAGGAGTAGTCACCGTCCTTGTTCATGGCGTCGGAGCCGTCTCCGGAAAGGGAGGTGGGAAATCTGAGATCCTTGATCGTGTATCCTGTGATTACGGTTGGCATGCCGATCGAGAGGTTTATTATAGGAATAAATTAGAGGTTAGTGCTAAAGGTCTAGCTCTCGGGAGAATGGAGTTTTATATCCAGGGGGAGTCTTTGCACCATGCAGATTTGTGGGGAAATGCATTAACGGCTTTTCTTTAACGCGCTTCGGCCGAGCCGCACAGCTTGCCGAAATTCGGCGCAAACTTCCACCGTGCGGTGAACTTTTGTCCATGGTTCAAGAACTTTGAAGCCCACGTTTAAAACCTCTCCACTGGAACCAGCTCACGTCTCAGTCTATTAAATCTTGATAAAAAAAGGGAACTTGCATATTGACACCATTCACAAAGAACGTGCCAAATGGCCATGCCAAGGTATACAAATAGTTTGTTGCCGTATTTCATGGAAGAGCTCTCAGTGCTGCAGGCCACCCAACTATTTGGTCCCTAAAATATCCGGGGTCTTCCTTCAAGCCTTTAGGAACCAATTACCCCCAAGATTTTGCCATTTAGACGGCCCTGGAAACATATTTTGCCGGTCATATATGGTTCAATTCATGTTCCTCCATGCATTATCCAATCAAGGCCTTAACACCGATTCCTGCATCCGGAAAACACGATGAAAAGTCCGAGTAGCTTTACCTTCCTTACTCTGGGGAACTAGATATAAAACCGGGGGGCGATGATGCTCTTTTAGCCAAGTTCTTCCCCACCTTTTGATCTGCACCCCGTGTATGCCTATTTAACTATAAGCATTAGGCCATTCACAAAAAAAGAGGTCATCGTTCATATAGCCTTCAAACCCCACAGACGTCACTCTCCATATACAGGTACCGGCTTCAGGCCGGTTTTGGGTCCTCAAATATCTTCAGTCGTGTACGCCGAAAGCCAAAAATATGGAGGGTCCTTTCATTCGTGGGGGGGATACCTACCCGAGCTGCATATCTACGTTCTGCATCCCCCCCAGGTATGATTTCAGACCTCCAGAGCAATATAAATACCACTTCTCTCCCTCGTTATACAGACCCTATTTTGGCTGCAAACACAAAAAATGTCAGTTGTTTCACACCTGGCCGATGAAGTGGAACCCAGAGCTCCAAGCGTGGGTGACAATGACTCCCACTTTTCACACAACGAAGACAAGCTAGATCTTCAGTATATCGGAGAGGCCAGACTTTTGGCCGAAAAGGAAATTGATTACACACCAGAAGAAATGGCTGCTGTGCTTCGGAAAATCGATTTCAGGGTGCTCCCATTCATCTTTATCTGCTACATGTTCTTCTACATTGACAAAACCACCTTGTCTTACGCTGCAATTTTCGGTATCAAGAAAGATTTGAACTTGAAGGGTACCGAGTACTCGTGGTTGTCGTCTGTTTTCTATTTTGGCTACATGGCATGGTCGTTCCCCACCAACTACTTGTTGATTAGGTTCCCGGTGGGTAAGTACTTGGGAGTGAACATCTTCATGTGGGGAGCCTTTTTGATGATTCAAGCTGCTTGTAGCGATTTCTCCAGTTTGGCCGCCGTCAGAGCCTTTGGTGGTGCTGCGGAGGCCTGTGCCGATTCCGCCTTTATGCTTATTACTGGGATGTGGTACACCAAGCGTGAACAGCCGATTCGTATCGGATTGTGGTACGCTGCCAACGGTATGGGGGTAGCCTTTGGTGGGTTATTGGGATACGGTATTGGTAGCATCAAGGGTTCCATGCCGTCTTGGAAGTACGAATTTTTGATCGTCGGATGCTTGTGCTGCACGTGGGGGGTTGTGATTTTCTTTGGCCTTCCCGATTCTCCTTTGAGAAACCAAATCTTTAGCGCCAGAGAAAAGCAGTTGTTGATAATTCGGTTGAAGGAAAACCAATCCGGCGTCGACGAGTCCACTGATAAGGTCTTGAAGTGGGACCAAGTCAAGGATGCTTTCCTCGACCCTAAGCTGTGGCTTTTGTTTATCATCACCATGTTTGCTAACATCCCAAACGGAGGGATTTCCAACTTTGGGACCATGATTATCCAGGGGTTTGGCTTCTCCACCTTGGTAACCACTTTGTTGCAGATTCCGAACGGTTTCATTATCTCCTTTTCGATCTTGGTCTGTGTGTACCTCAATGACTTGTGGATGGAAAAGAGTGGAAAAAACAGAAGAACAATCATGATCATCCTCTTTATGCTTCCAAATATTGCCGGTGGGTTTGGCTTGTTGCTCGTTAATGAACACCACAAGGTTGGCAGATTGATCTGCTACTACTTGACCGGTCCGTACAATGCTGCCTTTGTGATGTTCTTGTCCTTGAACACTTCCAACACCGCCGGAACCACCAAGAAGAGTGTTACCAACTGTATGTTGTTTTTGGGTTACTGTGTGGGTAACATTGCGGGTCCATTCTTCTACAAGACATCCCAGTACCCAAAGTACAAGTTGGGAATGGGTTCTCTCTTGTTCTCTCATTTTATGGAGGCTATTCTTGCCGCTACGTTGGGTCTCTACTTGAGGAGAGAAAACATGAAGAGGGACAAGGCTCAAGGTGTGGAGGCCGGTGCCGAGTTGAGCACTGAATTTGCCTACGAGGATTTGACCGACAGACAAAACCCCAACTTTAGATATGTTTATTAGTTGCATGGATCCTGGTATCTCGATGGACTAACCTTGGTACCCGTGGATTCTCTGTCCAAGCATAGGTTTACGCCATGATTATCGACGACAGATTGCACCCGGGTGAATTGCATAGGAAATACTTAAGAGTAACCGTCAGTGCGTATTGGAAGGTTTATATCTCTCTCAAGTCTTTGAAAAGAATCTCCACGAAAATTCACAAGCAAGTATGGATTAGAGGAGCCTTCAGGAATATATCAAATTTGAGTGACGGAAAACAAACAAGTAGTGTGGCAAATTTGTATATCTGAGGTTATATCAGTCGCGGACAACAGTGACTTGCTAGTTGAGTTAGACTCTATTTTCCACGATGCATTAAGCTTGGTGCGTCTTACCTAGACAAATTACCCTACCCTGTTTTTAAAGTTGAGACTGGAGTACTAAGCCACATGGCTATTCGAAAGTTACATTTTCAAGGATTCTTTCTACAGTCTTTTAGATTGAAAAGAAGGCTAGCAACGCCACTGTTAAGTGCGAATCACCGCAATGGGTATTCGTAAACCACAGGACGGTCTTCCAAACGCCCAATTCTGTGGAATCCTCATGGGCCCCTGGATATTACCTGCAGTAACAATGGAATTGCCGTTTTGCAGTCATATCGTGCATGACCAGTAACCCGTGGCTTATTGAATCAAGAATACTGCTGATTCCATCTCGATCCACAAACACAGGCAATTTTAACCACCCCACATATTCTAGGAAAAAAAAAAACCACGAACGGTTGAGTGTATCCCCCAATTCGTGCACACGGGTCGTATGCCGATCTTCGCGCTCCAGTCTTTTCCGCGAAGCCGTCCTATAACGCATGACAAACCTTGAGATGCTATCTAACTAGTGTTAGCCCTACTGACACCTGCACTTAAAAAGTGCCCCTTCAGGAGTGGAAATTAGTAGAAACTTAATTCGATGGCCTGAACTAGGCCTCGCTAAAATCTCAGTGCATCCGACTTTTATAACTCGTTTCTGAATCTACTGCATGGAAGTTCGATCCTTCCCTGAAGAGTCAGATTAGGACACACTAGCCTCGAATCTAAACCTTATGCTATTGCTTTCCAGAAACATAGCCATATCGCGTATGCGCTGACTGTCTGCAATCAGATCTACCTGACTTTCAGAAAATACTACTCGATCACATGGCTTTCGTAGAAATTCACAACAGTAGCGGTCGCACCTCCTTCTCTCCTCGCTTCCACACGGCTTGGGGGTGCATGCAGATGAATCCTGCTAATGCGCACTGTGAGGTAAGAAATTTCCAGGAGGCGTAGCAGCATTTTTCCTGCAGCCATGGCAAATTATCAACGGGTGTTAGCCCTCTGACCCCTCACTATCTTGAAATGGTCGACTTTAAAGTAACTAGAACGTTTCAAATCTGGTTTACCCGTGAATTATATACCTGTGGAACGTCGAGAAACCTTTGAAGACTTCAATAACGCCGTGAACACCTCATCAATCGCAAGTCTTTGAGATTGAGCTCGCCCATAAAAGAGGAACACCAGTCGGAAGAGTAGACCCTAAGCTGGCTCATCCTTCAGACCAAAGCTATACCCATTCTACGCCTAACCTTTATACCAGCTCATCGTGTATACCTCACATCCATCATGCACTGCCTACCTCTCATATTCCTTCTCCTCCGTGTGGTAGTCGCGGCACAGATCAGGGGCTATCCGTGCGTGGGCGTTTCGCAAAACCTCACGATATCGCGGTTCTCTGGTCTGGCAGTTTTCATCCCGTCCGACGAGCTCCTAGTGTTCCGGCTTGAAGCAGCAATTATCAGCCCCGAAATCGTTCCTGATATTAACTCTACAACTAACAGGTTCACCACATTGCATGTTAGAATAGTAGATCTCGCGGGGAACGTCACCGATGAGTATCTTCGGCTATGTGATTATATCACCGTGTTGCCTCTGACCGCAAATGCGAATGGAAGCATTTCTTGGCCAGGTGAATTCGCGGGATTCCCAGGCCTTGGTGGACCCATAAATAGCACAGGAGGCCATCCCGGCTACCCGTTTGAACCAAATGAATCTCATCCTTACCCCTCAGTCCCCCCTTCATTCATGCCCCAGCCACCTGCCAACATCTCGCATGTTCGCGCCCCCAACGACACATCCTGCCCGCTCTACTTTGGTGACCGCTTTGTCCTCACGTACACTTTCCATGCGCGCGACTACCGCTCGCGCGGCGCGTACACGGCCACATTCTCCATCCTCAGCGCCGATGCGCAACCACGCAAACTCGCATGCAACACCTTTGCTGTAACGCTCCCCAGCGCTACCTGGGTGGGAATCTTCCCCGTGACAGCGGTGGCCGCGCTCATTGTGTTCACCATCTGCACCCACGCGTTCATCATTCAAAACTCTCCCTTCCAAGAATCCTCTAACCCGTTTCTCTTCACCGTCTCGTCCCTCTGTAATGGGCCGTTGCTCGACCTTCTTACGCCCAGCTACACAGACGTCATCGCGTACTTTCAGCTCGTGTACTTTCTTGCGGGCTTGCACCTCCGCTACCCGGGCTATTTCCGGCCGGCGATGAAGAAGTTTGCGTACATCCTGCTCAGTGACATTCCGTTTGTGGGCAAGACAGTCCCAGCGGTGCGCGACCACGTGTATGTGGGGTACTACGAGACGGGGCTCAAGGCAATCCTCGTTTTTTCGTCGGGGTACGGGGGAATCGCGTCATACGCGTGGATTAACTTTGTAATTGCGTTTTTAATTGCAACGGTGGTGGCTATGGCGGCGGGGCAGGCGCATCTATATATGGCGACACGGCGCCATAATGCGCGTGTGCGCGACCCTTCTGCACGTATCCACCTTTCCCAAAACCGCAAGCGCAACGTACTCCTCCTCCTCGGCTACTTTTACATTGGCCTCTTCCAAATTTTTTCCCTTCCCCTCTCTGTCTGGACGCTCTACCAGATCCTGGAGCTCATCCAGGTCGATGCCTTCTTTCCCCAGCGCCATAACAGCATGGTCTGGTCCACCGCGCTCAGCATCCTTGTCGCAATTGTAGTGTTCTTCCATCTCGTGTTCCTTCTCTACAACATAGTGCGCCGCCGTGATCGCCTCTACAACTCGCTCACGTTCATGCTCCTCTATGGTGCGCTCTACAGTCGCGTGCGTCCCACCAAGTTGTACTTTCTCGCGGTGACTTGCGGTGTCGGCTTCCTCCGCGCGGTTGTAATCGCAACCATCGCCAATGGCTTCATCCAGGTGATACTATTAGCCATCTTTGAGATCTTTCACATGTGTGTGTTGGTCGCCATGGGCCCCTACCACCTCCACACACTTCTCAGCTGGCACGTGCTCTTCCCGCTCGGCTGCCGCTTCTTGGTGGTGCTTCTCTGCATCGCGTATGTGCCGGAGTTGAACTTAACCGAGCACGCGCGCGCTATTATCGGTCTCTTCCACTTTGCCATCCACGGCATTGTTTTCATTTACTTTTTGATTCAAAACATCAGGGTGATTGTACTCACCGTGAAAGCGAGAAAGAACGAAAGCTTGTACGAGGAGGCAAATAAGACTGAGACTAGTCAGATGGGGAGCACAGGCTCCACCGACAGTGTGGACGATGTGAATAGGTTCTACCGTGGTGCTAGAGTGACCCCTGAAGTCCAGAATAGCTTTTCGCCAGTGGTTGGAACAGAGCCGTGGTCACCTGAGGAGCTGGAAATCTTCAGTATGGGCATGTCGGGCACAAGCTTGCCGCGTGCAAACGTGTCGCACGTTGAATTGTTTGACCAGCATTTCCCCGGAGTTTATAACCTGAGCGTGCGCGACTACACATTCCGTGAGAGCGATCTTCGCTACAAAAAAGCGGCTTTCAAGGTTGACCCTGAGGTCCAGCAGTTGTGGGAGACCCGACGCCACCACCGCCAGGAGCGTAACCCGGTGTCTGGAAGAGAGAGTACGACGTATCAAAGAGAGGAATACCAGAGGGACCGGTCTTATCAAGGAGCGGAATTGTCTAGAGAAATGGACGAAAGGGATGTGCATCAGCAGAGAGTACCGGAGAGCGGTAGAATCATGCTGGTACTTGCTTCATTGGGCAGCTTTGTGAAAGGGTTCCGTCCGGTGCAAAGCGCCCCGATTCAGAGTTTCCAGGTTTCGCGTCCAAAGCCGATTGTGCTTCGGCCCGTGAGCTATGCGAAACGGCACGAATCGGCGGATGAAACGTTGATACTGCCCATACTGCCTTTCAAGGCCCACAAGGAGGTTGGTAATCCGTTTGATGTGACTGTGGAGGAAGAAGAAGCTACAAAGAGGCGTCTTAGGGATTCGCAAATCGAGATGGATGAGTTTGACTTTTCGTACTAGGAGATAGCTTATTGTTAATAGTACTCGGATAAAAAGAAGGTTAATGTAGAAACATGAATAAAGTCAGTTTAGGAAGGGGAAGTGCAGACGTGCTAATAATATACCTGTGGTGTGAAAATTATGAACGTGAGAGCAAAACCAAGCCATTCCCTGTGCCTATTTCTCTTCAGGAGGAAATTCCACGCTACCGTAGTTTATAAGGTAAAGAATTTTTTTTTGGATTCTTTTTGGGTGAGAACTCCAACGAACAAATGCTCATGAGCTCAGTGGCATGCATAGAGAGAATAGGAACAAACTTACAAGTGTCAGTGTAAGAGGAATATTATGACTTACAATAACCTCTGAATGGAGGTAATTAACGCTTTGTATTCCCTAGAAAAAAAAAAAATTCGAGCAATGTTCCAGAGAAAATAGTTTCAATCGGGCATCACCAGACCAGATACTTTAAGTTTCTTATAGAGCCCAATTATACTCCCCGGACCTCTTTTCCTCACCTCCAGGACTATTTATTACTACAAAACTCCTAGGTAAAAGACACTAAATATTTTTAAACCCTTACCGTCTCTGCTTCTTGGATTTTCTGGTCTCTTTGGATTCGATTTCTCGCTTCGCAGTGATTGCCTTGATCATCTTCTCATCCTCGATGAACTTGAAGTCGCTGAACGGCGCACCGCACGCGTTGAGCGAATTGATTTCAGACCGGTGGATACACTGGCTGATGGCTTGCTTACTGGTGACGTCTTCTGGTGTCACAAAAGCAGGGGCCTGCACCAACACCTGAGGATAGTTGGCTAATCTGGTGGTGAGTAACTTGGCCCACACCGCCTCCACGCTCTGAGTCAACTTACCGCTCTCCACCAACTGGCAGCACTTCTTCAAGATGCGGTTGACATAGGCACGGGTGTCCTTTGACTTCTGCTCCAAGATACTCTTATCGCTGGAGGCGATCTGGTTAGCAAGAGTGGCTACCTGGAGAAGAAGGAAAAGCTCTGGCAACACGGTCCCGTCGTTGTAACAATCGTACGCTTCCAACACCACCTCCTCATCAATTTCTTCGAGCTCTGTGTCGGCGATGGTGTGCAACATGGTCTCCCAGAACTTCTCAGTCAATGCTCCTTCGTCTACAAAAACCTGTTTGATACTGTTTAACGGGATTTCGGCAAAGTCAAACTTAGAACCGGACCATTCAACGTACCCGTATCTCCTCAAGATCTCTGCGTTGGGATGGTCACCGTAAGTGTTGTAGATCTGCTCGCCCTTGCTAATTGCCTTCACACTCTTCATCACTAACTCTTCGGGCGTGCTCATCAAATTGACGTTGGCAAGGGTGGTATCCGCATTCAAGGTGTCCGCCAATGGAACCATGCACTTGAGGTACTCGTCCTCGTCGTCCTCGTCGTCTTCATCTTCACCAAAATCTGGTTTCTGGCAGTCAAAGGAATAAGCCATGATGAGACTGCCAATCTTATGGAAGTCTTCAATGGTAGTACTACCGATCTGGGCAGCGACCCCCAACGCCTCCACGACCGCAGGGAAGAGCCTCTCGTACATTTCGACCGATGAGTCCTTACCAATTCGGTTGCCCACCAACGATGGTTCTAACAATGCCAATTCTGCGTCACTCCAGTACATGAGACTGCTGAACTCGGTCGGAAGGACGCCGAAGTAGCTGGCCCAGTTGGACGCCGCGCCGAGCGACTGTTCGTACAACAAGACTAAAATCAAGGCTTCCCACTGACCAAGGCCAGCTAAAACATCTCTGTTTCCGTTCAAGCTCGAGAGAGCACTGGTTTCGACGTTGAGGATGGCGCTTCTGGGAATCGAAAACACAACCTCGTCTTCGGCGATATCTTCGAGCGCAACCACGCCTCTGCCTTGGTACAGCGCCCTGAGGTCTGCAATCAGGACCTTTGAGGAGAGCTCTACCCGATGTAAGGTGAGCCATTGAGAGAAGCTGGCAGTGTCTTGGTCAAAAGTCATTGGGCGATGAAGAGCTAACTTAAGCAATGGAGGAAAAAAATGCAATGTGCTGAAAAATATACGCATGCAGGATGCATGTGCATATAAGAGTCAGATGGGGTACGCAATATGACATTGAAACCTCCCAGAGTTTAGTTTGACATCGTTAAGGTGGGGTGGGAAATCCTTGGAAATAAAAAAGTGACCTGAACCGGGTTATAGGTTCAGCGTTAATCAACCACCTTCAAGCTCTCGACACAATTCTACCTGAGATATGCAGAAGCTGCTTGATGTTTAAATAGTTACTGAGGTGTTCCCTAAATCTTTCCTTGATCGTTATGTGTATAAGAAAAATCACTAGAGGTTTTACTATCAGACGTATTTGTTACTCGAAATTCTCACACGGACAGGTAACAGGGAAAATCCAGGGGAGTGAAAGACATCTCTAGAAAGTAACTTATGCGGGAAACGTCGGAGTTTCCCCATCCCTAATCGATTTGAGAGCCTTTAACTTCAACCCCCGCATATCTCTAAGAGTACCTTTAGTCCGACGACTGGTTAAAAAAAATCCTCCAAACCAATATATAGGTTTTCAACCCACATGGGATAAATTAGATGTTTCAAGTCCTTTACCCTTTGAAATGGCAAACAGAACCTCATTTAAATTGTAACCAAGAATATCCGAGGGATTGATCCATGTAGCGCTGCCGAGACTCCGTAGTCGGATATTTCCTGAAAACCAGAGCGCGTGCGGAAGTCTGAATTGCCGTTATGAGCATGTTTCACACAGACGATCTGACCATGACGAGTTCTCGCAGAGATTAGAGATTGGTCATGAGTATATATAAGAGATTTTTGTACCGCGTGAATATCAGCACGGCAATCATTTTAGTCGGTAGTTTCGAATACACAAACTAATTCTTATGCCGGGCAAGACCCCCTAAGAACCCTTGCTTGGAGAGACAGTGCCACGGCTCTTACGAATACCTACAAAAAAACCTCCTTTCACGATATCTAAACAGTTATTTCCAAACTTGATCAAGATGAATATATAATAGCACCGTAAAATGAATTGCATGTAAAAAAAAACATGCCCTAGGTTTTTAACTCTATAATACCAGGCGAACGGTGATCCGACTTTCCACGTGATCAATCACGTGCTTCTTTCTAGAAAGATCCACGAACTCTCGACGACTCCAGATTTGCGTATAAGATCATCTGACCTCCCCCCTCAGATCTTTCCCCTCTTTCTTTCCTCTTCACACACACACTAATTACTATGGCCGACGAATATAAAGCACAAGGTAACGCTGCCTTTTCCGCCAAGGACTACGAGTCCGCTATTAAATACTTCACGCTTGCGATTGAAGCATCCGAGACGCCAAACCATGTGTTGTACTCCAACCGTTCAGCGTCATATGCCTCGTTGAAAAAGTACCGCCAGGCCTTGGAGGATGCCAAAGCTTGCACTGAGATTAATCCTTCCTGGGCGAAGGGGTTCAACCGTGTGGGAGCTGCCCATCACGGGTTGAGCGATCTCGAGGACGCCAAGGTGGCGTACAAGAAGGCGTTGGAGCTCGAGCCAGGCAATAAGATGGCTGCTGAGGGCTTGAAGTTGGTTGAACAGGATGTTGAAGCCAGAACGGCCATGCCAGATATGGGATTGGGCAAAATTTTCTCGGACCCGAACTTGATTTCCAACTTGAGAAACAACCCAAAGACCGCCGACTTGATGGAGGACCCGCTTTTGGTGGAGAAGATCCAGAGATTGAAGAGCAATCCGCAGGCCATGGCAGGTGAGTTCATGAGCGATCCAAGATTGATGACGATCATGGCAACCTTGATGGGGATTGATCTTACGAGCGAGGAGCCATTGCCGCACAACATGGAAGAGGAGCCAAAGGCCGCGCCAAAGGCCAATCCTGCACCTCCTAAGGCTGCCCCAGCGGCTGCTCCTGCTCCAGAGGCAATGGAAGTCGACTCTGACAAGGTCTCCGCCGACGCGCTCAAGGCTGAGGGTAACACCTTGTACAAGGCCCGCAAGTTCGATGAGGCCATTGCTAAATATACCGCCGCCTGGGAAACCCACCAGGACATTACCTACCTCAACAATCGCGCTGCAGCGGAGTTTGAGAAGGGCGACTACGAAGCTGCTATCGCCACCTGTACCCAGGCTGTGGATGCGGGGCGCGAGGCCAGAGCCGATTACAAGCTTGTGGCAAAGTCGTTCGCACGTCTTGGTCAATCCTACCTCAAACAGGGCAACCACTCGAAGGCCATCGAGTTCTTCAACAAGTCGCTCACTGAACACAGGACTCCAGACGTGCTCAACAAGTTGAGAGCGGCCGAGAAGGACATGAAGGTCCAGGAGGCGTTGAACTACATTGACCCAGAGCAGGCCGAAGCGGCTAGACTCGAGGGCAAGGAATACTTCACGAAGGGTGACTGGCCTAATGCTGTTAAGGCCTACACCGAAATGATCAAGCGTGCGCCGGAAGATGCCAGAGGGTATTCCAACCGTGCTGCCGCGTACGCGAAGTTGTTGGCGTTCCCAGATGCGGTGCGCGATTGCGACATCGCCATCGCCAAGGACCCGGCCTTCATTAGAGCGTACATCCGCAAGGCCACCGCGCAGTTGGCTATGAGAGAGTTCTCCCCAGCGATGGAGACCTTAACCGTGGCCAGAGAGTTGGACTCCAAGGCGGGCGGGAAGTCCGTGCACGAGATTGACCAGTTGTACTCCAAGGTGATGTCGCAGAGATTCAGCGCGATCGAGGGAGAGACCCCAGAACAAACCATGGAGAGAGTCAGCAGAGACCCGGAGGTGACGGCGATCTTACAGGACCCGGTTATGAACTCGATCTTGGGGCAAGCGAGAGACAATCCAGCGGCGTTGCAGGATCATATGAGAAACCCGGATATCGCCAAGAAGGTGAATATTTTGATTGCCGCGGGGGTGATCAGAACACGTTAGATGCAGTCCCGCAGGACTGGATTTTACCGGTTTGCTGAGCAAGCTGATATCCGTTGGAATGTTGGCTTACTGGGTAGACAAAGCCAAGGAGCCAAGCCCGTTAGGGCGCACCTTTGATTTGTATTTCAATAATAAAAAAAAAGAAAAATTAAATCGCATAGTAGACCCCAGGAACCCGTTCCAAGCATAAGTGGCACCTAGGATATTCTTAATAAATCGATAGACCCTGCCGGGAGGTGTCTCTTCCAGTTATCACAAATAAACGTTGCTACGTTAACGTAATACTACGCTCGCACACTTGTTTTATTTCACGATTGTCACGTGCGGAAAAGCTGAACTGAAAGTTTTGGTTGAAAATATGCACGAATTAGCCTTGCGATAATACATAAGTGTCCCTTTATACCAGTACCTCCGTGCCCTCTTGTAATAGTACAAGACTGTCTCTTTATACCAGTACTTTCGCATTAACACTTATTTCACTCTACAGCTACCTCTTTCCTGAATTATCCATCTTAATGAAGCTCACACCTCAGCTCATCAACAACGCGCCGACGTTTTTGAACCCGCAGAGGAACCGTGTGATAAACTTGCGAGGCTTGCAGATCTTGTACATTGAGAACTTGGGCGTTACCAAGAATCTCAACGATGTCATTGACTTGACTGACAACGATCTTTTGGTCTTGGGCAACTTCCCACACTTACCCAAGTGCCACACCGTGCTAGCCGCTAAGAATCAGATCCACACCCTCCAGACCTCTCTCAGCGAACAGTTACCCAACCTAGCGACCTTGTCTTTGACGTCAAACAATATCACCCACTTGTCGGACTTGACTAGCTTGTCAAAGTGCGAAGAGCTCCATACCGTGGCGTTGTTGCACAATCCCGTGATAAAAGTGGAACACTACCGCTTGTTTGCACTCTGGGCGATCCCCTCGTTGAAGATCTTGGATTTTGAAAAGATTAAGGATGCTGAACGCAGAGCTGCTACCGCTCTTTTCGGCACCCTCAGCGAACCTTCTGCTTTAGCCACCAGCATCCTTCAGCTCAAGTCACAGAACTTTGCCAAATACAACCCAGTTACCACAGAGAAGATCTCCAAACAGGACCAGACCATGGCCAGTGTCGTGAAAAAGCTCAACGACAAAGACCGCGCAAAGTTGCTAGAAGAATTGACCAACGCGACCAGTTTGGGCGAGATCGACAGAATCGAAACCGCCCTAAAGAACGGTTATATGTAGGGGAGCCGAAAATAAATCTCAATACTCTGGTTTTTTATTCCGTTTGTCGGACTTTAACCTAGATGTAGTTATCGCACCTACAGCAGTAATTTCCACGAATACATAATTAGCGTACATTTTGACCTCGATTTGAATACTGAAAAATTTTGTGCAATTGAACAACGCTCTTTTTTTTTGTGTAAGCTCTTTGTTCTCATTTAATATCTATCGATATCTCATCGTCGTGGAACGTGGCGACCGATTGGTTCCTGCGAATTCGTGGTTTCACCGCACTGTAGGTGCTGATGCTGTTGGAGATGCTCCGCAAGAAATTGGCATACATCGAAGACACTTCTACGATGAATAGCAATGTTTCGAGACCTGATTCTGCGAGAAGCAAACCGAGATCCACTATATATAGCACGTAGAGTGACACCCGGAATCGGTCCTTCGGGTCGTGGAACGTGGGGTCTACCTGGAGACTCGCCAAGTGGTCCATTGTCTCTGGGATCTGGAGCTGTGTGATCAAGTTATTCATTGTCATTGGTCGTGCCATTTTGCAATGAAATAATTGTATGTGTATCTTATGCAATTGTAGGGTGAATGAATAGTAGGTATCTACAGCTTACTGTGTTGTGTATTGTTAATGTGGGGTACGCGAGTATATATATGTCGGATGTCTCATATCAAATGACCCGCCAATTATTCAGGGGAATACGCGTCATCCAAGGCGTCAAAGAAACATGACAGCTTCAACCCGTCTTAGCCTTGTTACTGGCCGGTACCGCTAGAATCAACAGTGCTATGACCCTAGCTTCGACGTGACCAGGTGCTGGATTGGCATGTGACGAGGAAGTATACAGGATCATCATATTAAGTCTTTGCAGGAGATCTGAGACTTCTAGGCACGTGCTGGTGGTATCCCAGCCGCTTCACGTATGACCTCAGGCCCTTTACCCATAGTCTCTGGGAAGAGAAAATAAATGATATTTCTATCGAATGGTTTCCATCGTAATAACCTTCACGTAAATATCGAAAGATATGTTCACACCGTTAGCCAAGTGATACGGGGTCGCGGTTTTCATGAAGGCGAGGTCTCCAAGATGTAGGTAATTAGGAGCGGGGAACAAACGTGGTAGGCGTTGAAAAAGTGTCCGAAGATGATACCGATGACCGACCCTTTATCTTAAAACTCTGCTGCTTGTTTACCGAGAGGATGTCTAGCGTGTAGCAGTCACATATGGTTCTGTAACCCCAGATAAAAATTTGCCATAGGAAATCAAGGCAAGTCCTTCACAAATGTACGACGGGAAGGGCGACAACGATAAATAATCTTTACAAGCAAGGTTTTGTTCTGAACCATTCCTCCCACGAGATTCTCTGCTGGATCTTCTCTCGTTTGATAATGATAAAATTCAGTTTAATTATAAATCCAAAACCCATTCCAAGTGTCTGTTTAAAGGATAGACCGAAACATAAACCACGAGCCGTCTACTTGTCAAATAATAAGACATGTGACACCCTGGTCTTTACAAGCCCTAGAGCTTATAACGCTTCACATAGCAATCGGTCGCCTAGCCCTCTTACTCAAGACAGAAGCTGTTAAGGCATCTGCCTTATTATTTTTTCAGGGATCAACGGGGGCGATCTTTTCGAACCGAAAATTATCGGTATCGATAGTTTATCCGATCTATCAGGGCAATCATCAAAACATACGGATGTACTCAGCCCGTGTCTCTTTCAACAGCTATTGGCAGTTTTACCAGTCATGCTTTCCATTCTCGGACAGTCCTCACCGCGCTAGAATATTTATACCCTAGTACCTTTAAAATCGACAGTAGAAGTCTTTAACGACTAAGACCACAGAGCGAAGGATATTTTCCTCACCAGCGGTCGCATACTTTTCTTCCAAGGGTTTACAACCACGAAAACCGTGCCGTAATTGCACGTAAGTTACAAGGATTAATTCGGAATAGGCCCTAATAATTCCAAACACTAGAGTGACAATAAGATCCCGTTAAGTTTCTGGACCCCTCCGGCAAGACAAGATGAAATGCCCGCTACCCCGTTCTGATTGGTGCACGAATCGTGTCCATACTTGTCCTCCACGCGGAAACACACCTCAACCATGAAAGATAGTAGATCTTTGTGTATCTACAGGAACAACTACGTTTTAATGGCCCTAGCTAGAAACGGCATAGACGCTCATGAGAAGCAGGACGATCCTGTTGAACGAAACTCGGGGAGTTACCTGGTGACACTGAATGGCCTCCACTAGAATCTAAACAGATACAAAAGGCATTTAAACGAAACGTAGCCATTTGTACTCACACTAACATCGAGCCACAAGACCTGTCTTTAATGACACTAAGCCATCCTCGAATAGCTAGACGCCATTTTATCGCATTTACAACGTAGTTAGCATGATCTCGTATAATTATATTACCCTCTCAAAGCTCTCAACTTTTCGGCCAAACGGTCCTCCGTTTCCTCATTCACCTTCAGCTTGAGGCTTGGCAGCTCCAACTTGTTCGTGTTAGCGCTGCCCAAGTTATGTTCCACCTCCAACCCGGCTTCGTCGGCAATCCTGGACATTAACAAATCCACGTCTTCCTGCGGGGTACTCACAGCATTGGTGTTATTTGAGACGGTTTCGTAGTACTCAGAACTGGCGTCCAAGTCCTCAAACTGCGACTCAAACTTCTCCATGACAAGCGAGATCCGCTCCATGTTCATGGACTGCAACGCTTTGTCCATGCCTTTGATGACCTGGGTCATGTTACCAGTAACGTTCCTCATCGTAACGGCGGTCTGTACCCTCGAGGCAACGGCGTCGATTCGGCAGGACAATCTCAACAAACTGAGGCGCTCGTTGGCCTTCCTGATGGCATTTTGCGCGTACAACTGTGCAATATCGTTGGTTCCCGCCAACATGGCCTAAAAATGGTTAATATGGGGACCTGTAAGGGCTCCTATCTGTTGATAGAGCTATAAGGACTAAACATACCTTTTTGACCTTGTTCTTTTCGGCGGTTTCTTCCTTTGCGGCCTTAGCAGCCTGTTTGTTTAACTGCTTTGCAGTGAACTAAAAAGGGTTAGTATAAAGACCCGGTGCAAGCCATCGGAAGGCAAACCAGAAGCTGCCTCAATCATGGTGATAATTGAATCCGTACTTTTAACTGAAACAAGGAATCTAGAGCTGATGTTAGTAATTTGCCCTTGTAGACTAGTAGTTCTATTTAAAAGGGCACACATACTTTCAAGTTGCGACATTGTGGTTATATAAGATACCTCTATTCTAGATAAAAGGAAGGCAGATGTGGCGTATCTTATCTAGTTTTCTTCTCCGTGACATCGCCATTCAAATACTATATGTAGGATTTCATACGTCATGTGACACGGCACATTTTTTTTGAGACCGTGTGTGCGGCTCGTCCACTGTTTACTTTTGGATATCAGAACGCATCGTAATCCTAGAAAGCCAGAGTCCTACCACCTTAGCCCACACGCGTTTTGTTGCCTTTCAGCACCTTTGATTCACATCTATATCACCATACATCAAGCCACCGTACATGAGTTCCACCACAAGCTTCCACATCGCCCAGATCAACAAATCCGCTGAGTCATTGAAGACGTTAGATTTCCGAAAGCCGGGAATTTTTACCAACGCACTCCTCCTCCACCCGGAAATTACATCGCTCATCCGCGATGCCGACGAGCACGAACGGGCGTTGTACAGGCTCAACGGCAGCAAAGAGATGGAGCGGGTGGACGGCAGCTGTGTGTATGCTCCCAGGAAGTCCGATGAAGAAGGAAACAAGGCGGATGAGAGCATGCTCATAGCCACAGACAATTCTCAGTACAACAACTACGTCCAGACACAGTTACTGGGGGATCTGTACACCCAGCACTCGAGCTCGCACAGCAGAACTACCGTGCAAACCCCCCTCCTTAGGACCACGCCCGCAGCTGTCAGCAAAGGTGTCTATGATAGGGACACGGAAGAGGTAACAGAGGAGTTTGATAGTCTATGCTCCACAATAGCACTGTTGGTGGCGAAGTTTCCGGTAGAGGGCATCGCCGAGAAGGTTCGCGCATATAAGCGTGACTACGCTGCGCTTACCGGAGAGATCAGCCACTACGACACCTTGGTTAATCGCCAACGCGAACAATTGGCTGGATTCACTGCCGAAGTAGAGGATGAAGCCGAGGAGGAGACTGTTAGCGTGGAAGAATTGATCAGAATCGAAGAAGAAGAGATTGCCGAGTTGGAAGCACAGCTTCGTGTGAAGCAAAGGTAGAGGTGGGCTAAGTGCCAAAGTTGGGGAGTTTCAGCCATCAGCTGTGTGTTTCCTATTTTGTAGTTTTGGGTCCATATTTCTTGTATGCTAAGGTTGCGGGTTGACAGACTGATGCATGGATGGTCTTACTCGAGCTAGATGGATTTGTCTCAATGGAATGGTTTTAAAACTGTGGTTAGAGGATTTAAGTCTGTATCCGGGTTCAAGCCTGCGTGGATATAAAAATATTACAAAGGCCAGGATCTAATGCGAGTGCGAAAACTCACTCTAAATTTGAACCCCCCTTTCAAACGTATACAAGTGAAGGAAACTAAAGTGCGTATCAGCTTTTTTTAGATATGCCATACAATTTCAAGCAAATAATATCATAGTGATGCTAGAAAGCAATTCTTCGTTCATCAAAACCTAAGAAAACGAGTACCTGACCAAAAAGGCGTAAGGAAACAAAAACTCATATCTGAGATTGCATCACAAAACGGTTAATTTACGAATGATCCGAAACCACCCAATTATAACTACCGTGACACAATACATATCAGTTAGAAAATCCTCTAAACTATTGGGGGATACCGTTTCAGCAATATCAAGCATATGTCCACCTATAAAAATTCTCTTCTCTGTTGCGTCTGAGTGACGCGCCTCCAATTCCAAGTCTAGCTACGCCAGCAATCGATACCGAAAGCAAAAAAAAAACCATTACTCCCACCTACCTTCTTTTTAGCCTAATTCAATCCTAGTTTTTGGTTTTAGTACAAACGACACGAACATCTAAGTGTAAAACTTGCGATCCATCCTATACCAATGTCTACGTCTTCACATACTCTTCATGACACGTGACTTTCTCAGTCCTAAGCAATCGGGCCAATTTTCGCAGGGCCAGTGGCACAAGCGATTTAGCAACAGACGGCTACAGCGGCAGCACTATCGGCGCCGAGAAACTCTTGAACTCTTTTGCTACATTTCACTGAGATATCTACACAGATATATAAAACTATTATTCCTATCACACAGTTAGGCACAGTGAGAACTATTACCTGAGGTGATCTAATCCACAAATAGCATCCACTGGGGCCAACTGACCGTACATAGCACACCCAGTTCAGTCTCTCCAGTTCCCAGATACCGTCTATTCAGGCTCTGATTCCTCCACCCACACATTCCAGCTCAGTTTCGTCACTGTCAAAGTCTGAGTTCGGACCATTAGCATAACGTAGATTCCAGCTACGATACACACTCAGACTCATTAATGAACTTGGGAGACGATTACTTGGCGAGCACCACTCGACTCAGCAAAGCGATTGCCACCACAGCGTCTTCACTCGTGCAACAGTCGACGCAATCACGCGCGTCGCTTTTGCAGAACCCGCACTACACGCAGGCGATGGTGTCGACGCTCAACGGCTCGCGCAAGGTGCTGCTCCGGCTGAAAACAACGTCAGAGTTGCTCCGCGGGCGCTTTAGTACGCGCGAGCAGATCTACCGTGCTACGACCGAGCTTGCAGACGAGTTATTACAGGACTTGCCGGACCAGAAGTCCGCCTACAGCTTGTTCCAGGGTTTCAACGCCGTGCTACCTGATATTGATGACGTTATTAAGGAGGATACCCAGGATAAGACCGATGGAACCCAGAAGGCGATAACGGATGGTCAGATGAATGACCCCTTGCCCAAAGGGATCACGCATCAGAAACTTAAGACGTGTCAGAATCCCAAGATCCTCGCGAGCTATCAAAAGCAGATCAACTACAAACTCGACTTGATTGAGATTCGCAAGGGCTTGGCCGCGGCAGAGATTGGCGAAATCGACGAGAAGATCCAGCAATTACACGAAATGCGTGCGGTAGTGTTGCTGCGGGTGCAAAAGTTTGAAAAAGACGAGACATACCTTGAGCTGCAGCTCGAGGAACTCGCCGATAGAATCAGCTTGGTCAAAGATGTAGAGCCGGCCAGCCCTGAGCCTGAAGTGGAAACTCCGCGCCGCAAGACAAAGCCAACGTCACAGCAATACTACGAGAGTGGCTCGCAGATCACGCGTTTCCAGGCACACGAGGAACGCATCACCACGTTCGATTTCGACGTTCCCTTCGGTACCATGTGCTCGGCAGCCCTCGACAACACGGTCCGGGTCTGGGATTTGTCCCAAACCAAGTGCATTGGGTTGCTCGAGGGCCACAACGCGGCGGTTACGAGCTTGCAGATGGACAATCACACGGCAGTGACAGGGTCGCTCGATGCCACGTTGAAGTTGTGGGACTTGCGCCACATGGATGAGGGTGAGAGCCCGATGGTGCACAGCTTCGAGAGCCACATGGACGAGGTTACTGCGTTACACTTCCATCACGACACCTTGGTTAGTGGCTCGGCTGATCGCACCATCCGCCAGTGGGATATGACCACGGGTCATTGCATGCAAACATTAGACGTGCTCTGGGTGCAGAGCCTGGCGGGCTTTGCGCCACTGAGTTTCATCGGTGCGTTGCAGTGCTACGACGCGGCGCTCGCGCTGGGGACCGCAGACGGGGTTGTCCGCTTGTGGGATCTCCGCAGCGGTGAGGTCGTTCGTGAATTGGTCGGCCACACGGGGTCCGTCACGTGTTTACAGTTTGATAGCCAGCACTTGGCTTCGGGCTCGGCTGACCGCTCTATTCGCATCTGGGACTTACGCATGGGCGGATTATTTGATGCATTTGCATACGAGTCGCCAATTAGTAGCTTGCAGTTTGACGCGCGGAGGATAGTATCCACGAGCAGCGATAGTTCTGTGAGGATATATGATCGTGTGGACCAGAGACACTGGAGCGTCGGGGAAGAAGAGGCGTCGGAGTGTGTGTACGCGCGGTACAAGGAGGGGTATCTTTTGGAGGGGAGAGTTGATGGGAGCGTGGGGGCATGGGCGGTGTAAGGTGAACACGGCGTGGTGCGAAGCGTAAAACATTGGGCCGGATAGCACGAGAGACATTTGAGGTGGTGCTGGGAATATGAGCACTGGAACACCCGAATGTGTAAACGGGGTTTGCGGGAGCTGTCTATGCTTTTCTATTTTCATTGGTTTACTGGGTAATTTTGTTGGTTGTTTTTGCGGACATTAATTAGTTACTTCCAATTATGGGGGTTTGCCACTGCCCGCTTTACGGTTGCTTCCGTGCATTTCCTTTGGCTCCTTCCCCAGTATCATCCCTCTGTCTTCACCTTTCTATCTCGGCGAGCACTGCTCGTATTAGCACACCTCACCCTGCATTAACCTGTCTGAAAAAATGTATATATTTAATTCTGTTTATAGTTGGAATCAAACGGTTTTCGATTTATTAGCAACAAACTGGCACACATCCTGATTATAAAATGTTTTATTTTTGACTTGTGTGGGATCTGGTGCGATGTAGTAGGCTTTTCCTTTTGGTAACGCCGTGCATTCTCTGTGTTGCGTGGGGTTTAGAGATCTAGGCTTACACCATACGGAAGGCCTACCCGTACGAAAAGCATAGGAACCGCGAGTGAAATTCGTTGTCAGACACCACTGTTTTCCCTCTCGATTCTGCACAGTAGATCCCACCGGAACTAAATCTGTCTCATGTATGCCGTCCTCACGCACGTGTCTTTGAACAGGTCCTGCATATCCATATGTGGTAATATCTCGAGAGTCGGCATGCAGTCTTGCTCTAAACTGGCAGCGTTGTTAGGGACATAACATTTTGGGGTCCACTAATCAACCAATGTGCTGGAGCCATGGTTGTATTGCAGCCGCCAAAGGTTAGCCGGTACAGTGTGTAGGTGTTCTATTTCGAGGTATCAGTCCTTTTTTTTCCGTCTGACTGTTTCAGGGCGAAAGGTTGCCTAGGTCCCCAAGGAAAGGTCGAAAGACCAGCCACCTTATCCAACAAAGTGTCTGAAAGGATCGTCCACATATCGGTTTCGCAAGTCCTTCGAGCGCCTAATTACTCTATGACTCCTTGGAATTTAGGAAATAAGGCTAAACCCCTCGAGGGCTCCCCAAGATTGTCCTTTCAAGTTTTTCCTGCCCGAACTACCATCATCAATTGGCTAGTGAAACGTGCCGTTCACTTTACCGCACGTTTTAGCTAGCCAATGACGTATGCATACTCGTAGCATCAGCTGTACGAATATTTGTGCTATTGGTAAGCAAAATACATCTTGAAGGCGTTTTTTCAAGCTTAACCTATTGCTCCTTGATGATGGATATTATTCTTAACTGAAAGGCTGGCTTTAAAAACTCCTCCTATTTCCCGTTTCAATTTCTACCCCCCCTCGTGTTATCAATGGCCTTCTGGCTATAGGTTGCAGCATGCGCGATCGATCGACGCACTAGGCCCTGTACATACAATAGAGTGACACAAGGCCTGCGGCCCAATGGAAAGCTCTGCATATTGTAAATTGGTATGTGGCTCCCTGTCCTGATATGGAGCTGCCGGCAGGACCAAATTTAGTCCTGCACACAATTCTCCTTTTTATCTCTCGGCGCACGCTCGCCAGTTTTCGGGTTACGGTACGACGCATGATTTCAAGTATAGCCTCTAATTGGGCTGGGCGCAAGACAAGCGGATTGCTCGTCTAGTCGACCCTCTATCAGCGACCTGAATCGCCCTACACGTTCTCTAGCTTATTGTCAGTATTATCAAATTCCCTTTGTGGCGTACGTTAGCCGCCGCCACTACAGCAATTCCCATCCGTTTTGGTGTCTAATTTACAACCCTTGCCCAAACCTCTTCCTAAGCCGACTGTGCTCCCCACTGGGTATCTGAACGTATAAAGCCTCCCTTGGCTGTTAATCCCCACCCAATTCAGACTGGCTCGGCTATCTCATAGTGCTTTGTTGACCGTCATACATTTGATCCACCTCTGCTTCCGTTGGCTCCGCTAATCGCTTCCATAGAACGGTATTGATCACTTCAAAGTCGACTCCTGACGTTTCTACCGACTTTGCTCCTGCTTATACCACAACGCGAGTATACTCTTGAACGTATTTCGTCCACCAGGGATACTGGTTCCATCTTTTGAGCATCGGCGACAGGGGTTAGTACTACTCCCAAAGATTCTAGGGCTCAACCGGGTCGTTATTTTCTCAGGTGAATACGGAAGAAATTTCCGCCGTGTACCAAGTCAACCATATTCCGTAACCACCTCCAAACCTATCAAAACGCCCATTCTTGGCTCCCTGGTTACACCATCATCATTACCTCATAATATCCACACACGATGATAGGGTACGATCTAGCGCTGGTAAAGACGTACAACACAGCGCCCGGGACGGAACTCGTCCACGGGCGAATGCAGCACATCATACTCTCCGTCGGCACCTCCGCAGCTTCCTGTCTGGCCTGCTTTGGTCTCATAGGATTCTACTTCTTTGTCGTCATGGATCACAAGCACTGGCGATTCCGCCACTCGCTTATCGTCATTCTCATCGTGTATGATTTCATCAAGGTCATGGCTTTGCTCGCATACGATATCCGCGTGTTTCTCCAGCCCGTTAAAACCGTCAACTTCTGGCCTTTCTCGAAGGCCTATGTCAATGCCAGTGGCTGGTTCACCGCCTTTAGCATTGAAGGCGCCGATATGGCGATCCTCGCGTTTGCTATACACACCTGTCTTGCGATCTACCGACCGGACCTAGCGGTCAAGGTGAAAAAAGGCTCTGAGAGCCAAACCGAAGGCGGTTTGTATCGCTTCAAAGCATACGTCTATCTCCTTTGCCTCTTGATTCCGGTACTCCTTGCCAGTTTAATGTTCATTGATAAGTCGGGGTACTTTGCCTATACGTCCTGGGCATACATCCCGCCCCAACCTGTGTGGTACACGTTTGCGCTCTCCTGGGCACCACGGTACGCCATCATGATCATGATCTGTGTCATATACGGTGCCATCTACTGGCATGTGATGCGTAAGTTCAAGGAGGTGGGAGGAACGCTCAAGAGGATGGGTAAGAACCAAAAAGTCCGACGGACCGTCTTAATGGGGTTGGTTGATGCCCTATTGCTTGCTATCAGGGTTGTTGTGCCACACGACTTTCATCGCCGAGATCTGAAGGATCTGGAAGCGAAAGAACTCCCTGGTCAGTCATTTGACGATGAGACAGTTCATTCAGGACACCCGAGCTTTCAGAAAGATACGCGCCACTCTTCGCCTATTGTGAACGGTTCAGGTTCCGGCCAATCTGGTGCAACCAACGCCACGGCGGTGGATACGGTTGACTTAAACACAGCAGCGAAGACCTACAACAACCTGGGGAAGGCGGCTAATGCCACTGCTGCTAAGACTGGCGCTGACGCGATGGCTGAAGCCGATGATCTCCAAGAAAACCTCCGCAAGCAAAACCTCCGAGCCTTCAAGGCCCGCCGCAACCAGATCAGCAGACAACTCAAGTTCATCTTCATTTACCCTGTTGCCTACATCTTTCTCTGGATCATCCCTTTTATTCTCCACGTGACCCAGAGCGTCGACATGGAAGCATATGTGCACAAAATGTCCGATCGCCACACCTTTCAGTACTGGATCACAATCTTTGCCCAGTGGATGCAGTCCTTCAACTGCACCGTGGACGTCATCGTGTTTCTCATCCGCGAGCAGCCGTGGCGCTACTCCTTTGCTCGGCTCTGCGAGGAGGACTACGTGTCTGGGAGGTACAGTACCTACCCCAGAGAAGTCATCCTCGACCCCGCGGGCGGTTTTAACAAAGCTGCCCTTCTTCTGGCGCTCCCCTGGTGGCGCCAGCAGCTTGTCTGGTTGCCCCTCCTCGGCTTGCCGGACTTTGGCCGTAGTCAACAAATCTACCAAAAGCAAATGACTGCGAAGCTTGTGAAAGCAGCTACTGCGCCGGCAGCAAATCCTCACGACTTTAGCAACATTTTGCTGGGGGAGGATGACTTTCTCAGACGGACGCCTAAGTCCGACCAGCCAGGCTTCCGTGATTTTTCGTTTCGAACGGTCGTTATGGATCTACCATCGAACAAACGCAACGCCAGTGTGGTCTCTGCTCATAGTTCCACCTCGCCTCGCCGATTTGTGTTCAAAGGGGGGAGTCGTACCCCGCCCAATATAGAGATAGAGCCCCTGGTGATGATGCCCGAGGCTTATTTTCCGAGTAGGGTGGAAGGACACGGCCATACTCGGTTATCAGAGTCGTATTCGGCACACTCAGCCTCTCTTGTGACAAGGAGGTATAGTATCATGGACTTTTTGAAGAGGGTGGTCACGAGTGAGTCGGAGAAGGTACAAGAGACAAATATCAGGCTGTCTGTGACTGAGAGGAGTACCGATGAGGTGGAAGCTTCGAAGGATGAGGGAGAGAAGGATTTACATGGACCGGACCTGGACTTTCTTGAATTTCTCAGAATGGGGCCGCAGTAATAGCACTCTTTGGCCGAATGTCTTGTCGATAACTCTTTGTCACAGGTGCTTCGGGTAGCCGTTATACTCTGGTGACGGCCTTTGTTTCGGAGAAAGTTGTTTCCCTTGTATTGGAAGATCCTCTACAAAACTCTGTCTCCATTTTTTTTTATCTCCGTGGTTTTCTTTATTGTCGTGTTTGCTGTATAAGATGGAGTTTCTTATGATCCATTCTCCAGATTACTCCGCATATTGTGCACTTCGTATTGCTTTCATATACAGCATACACAGGGTTTTGACACCATGTTATAGTCTATCTGGTTATAATCTGGCATTTAATCGTTCGAGGTAATCCTTCTGGCTTGCTACCGTCCTTTCGGCTCACATCTGTGTTTCATAGCCATCGCGCTTCCTTCTGTGTTTCTCTTTCCCTTTTGGCAACATTGGACTTTATCTCTTCATACAGCGCTGGCACTATGGCTAACGCACTTACAAACGGTTATTCGGTCCTGTTTCTTTTTTTCTGGATACCATCTCACAGTATCCATCCGGTTCTTTTTCTTTATCTGGTTTCGGCGTAATTTAATTTTTGGGGTAAACTGTAAAAATATTCCTCTGTTCCTGTTTTTGGTATAGGAGAGTCGTTTTGGGCCTAGATCTGATTGGTCTGGCATGCAAACGATCCCGGTGGCTCCGTGACCGCCAGTGAAGCATGTGGTAAAAGATTAAAAACTGTCTTAATTTAATTCTCAAAATTTGACAGTATAAATCCTGTTGGGGTTTCTTTAACCTGGATTTTCCTTAAATTAGAAGCGGAAGCGACATCCTTGGAGACCTGCCCGGTAAACCCCACCCCGCCCACATTATGCGATACGACTATACGCGATCCATATAATCACTCAAGAGCGTTCGCTCTTATAAGTTGGACATAGACTCACCTGCCTAGGTTTCAATGGTATAGGTATAAACCCTATAGAGATCTATAAGTCAGTTTGCCTGCCCCAGTACCACTGAAGGCTCTGTGCGCGACGCTAAACAAAGGAAGCAAGTTGTGGCTGGAACAGCAACCGACCATACCCCGGCTGTGCAACCCAAATGGTTCGCATTGCCACTCTTAAGGCCTTCTATAAGAGCTTTAGTCCTTGTGTGGCATTTCTTGGCTTGTCAAGTCGCGATGCTTACTAATTTATACTCGTCTCCAGGCCCCGTAACACGGGCTATGCTTAGACCCGACCCTTACACCAGGATCAGTTAAACTGGTCATGCACGTACCTTGGGCCAGGCAGACAGGCATCAGGCAGCAACCGAGCCACTGATAGCAACCATACACACAGGCATCAATGATCAGCCTCCAATGGCAACCCTAATCGGTCAATTATCCGGTTGAGGCACCAACTTTTTGCCCCTGAGTCACCGCCATGCTGATCCTCATCACGTGCAATTTCCGAAGCGGCATGGACCGTACGGCCACTTTGTAACTACTATTTATTTCAGTTCTCGGGAGTCAGAAATTAGCCGTCAACGGTATCGATGCTTTCCAAAGAATAGCTCTAAATAATGGCTTACTAAAAACATCGTAATGATTTCCAACCAAGGCTATCCCCGCTTATGTTTGCTGGTGCACACACGCCTCGTTATCTTCGCATGTGACCGCGTTACCCAAAACTTCTCCAACACGCGCTAACAAAATTTTTCGGCAGTTGGCGGGGGAGTAAAAAAAAACGCTTATCTGGCAATCTTTTTTACACGCCTTTTCTCAATTATTGAATTAGACACCATGGCCAAGGCTTCCAAAACTGCCAAGAGCGAGAAGGTTTCCCCCAAGAGCGAGAAAGTTTCCCCCAAGAGGGATGCCGGCGCCACTGTGCCCGCCGATGTTAACGATGTAAAGAATGAACGCGAAAAGAAGATCCAAACGTTTGTGGTGAGAACCATATGGACTTTTGTGATGATATTTGTGTTTTTCTTTATCGTGCTGATGGGCCACCTTTGGACCATTGCATTGGTGGTTGTGGTTCAGGTCTTAACCTTCAAGGAGTGCATCACCATTGCGTCTGAGCCGGCACGCGAGAAAGACCTTCCGTACACCAGAGCGCTCGCATGGTACTTTTTGGCCGCTACCGTGTACTACCTTGAGGGTGAGTCGCTCATCTTCTACTTCAAGCATGTGATCTTTGTGGACACGCTTCTCCAGCCGTTGGCAAACAACCACCGCTTCATTTCGTACTGCCTTTACATCACGGGCTTTGTGTTCTTCGTCTCCACCTTGAAAAAAGGCCACTACAAGTTCCAGTTTGCACAGTTGTGCATTACCCACATGACCTTGTTGCTTGTGGTTTTCCAGGGTAACTTGATCATCAACAACATATTGACCGGCATGTTCTGGTTCTTCCTTCCAGTCGGGCTCGTCATTACCAACGACATTTTCGCATACCTCTGCGGAATAACCTTTGGTAAGACCCAGTTGATTGCCATTTCGCCAAAAAAGACGGTTGAGGGCTTTATCGGCGCCTGGATCTGTACCGCGCTCATGGCTATCTTCCTCTCCAACGTCTTGTCCCAGCTGGACTATCTCGTGTGTCCTGCTACGGATTTGGGCACCTCTTTCTTCACTACCACCACCTGTGTGCCTAACCCGGTCTTTTTTGAGCAAAAATACTGCGTTCCAGAGTACTTGGTCGAACTTTTGGGGGTCGGGTATGTCACGTTCAAGCCAATCTACTTCCACGCAATGGTTTTGGCCACCTTTGCCTCGTTGATTGCGCCGTTCGGTGGCTTCTTCTGCTCTGGTTTAAAGAGAGCCTTCGCCGTCAAAGATTTCGGCGACACCATTCCAGGTCACGGTGGCATTACCGACAGAATGGACTGCCAGTACTTGATGGGCTCGTTCTCGTATTTGTACTTCCAGACGTTTATCTCCACCCAAAACGTCACCATTGGCACCGTGTTGCAGATGGCAGTCATCAACTTGGATGGCCCACAGTTGTTGCAGTTGATTGCCGCGATTTTGCGCTATTTGAATAATATCGGCATGATTTCAAAGGAGCAGTTGGTCAAAATTACCGAGATCTTGGCCTAAGTTGTCGAAATGCTGCACCTTTGTCTCCTCACGCTTGTTGTTTATGTACCACTTCCCTTTCATGGCTGCAGCGTCAGTTCGTGTTTGATTTAAGCATTCGGAATGGCGACTCTTACATTCATGTGTCAGGGTTTCTCGAGGTCCAAGTTTGCTTATTCTTTGTCATGTACATGTTACTTCTCCTATCGCCCTCCACTTTTCTCCTCTTCCTTCCCTTCTCTAGCCTCCCCTTTTAGAGCCACCTCTATGGTGATGACGGTTGGTCTAATCAAGCTTTAAGGTACCCGCCACAGAAAGTACTTTGTTTTAGAGCATGTTCGTGAGCCACCCTTGTATTTCTCCTCTGTATATTTATTTCTCTACTATATGTATATCCATGTTATTTATCGTGTTGTAGTTGAGCTGTTGGTTCAGAGATGTGTGTATTATCATATAGGCAATTTAAGACAGTTTGGGTGTTATAATGTAAGAGTTAGTTTTGTTTCACAATGAATTTCGAGAGTTACCATGGAAGTTTCGAGTAATACCGCAATTTGTAATAGACTACATTCTTACTCGGTACTTTTCATAAGATCTAGACCTTTTGCCGAAGCTTTCATTTACCTTATATAAAATGTGGCGTGTGATTTTCCTAATGCGCTTTCGTATGTTTGATATTTAAATTAAATGACCAAAGGTGTATTGCACCCTTTTTTAAAAGGGATATTTCACCGACAGAATTCTCGGGACTTTCCTTGCCCTTGTTTTCGAGGTTAATGAGCTTTGTCGCCTAAACCTCGATATCATTCTAAGCTTCCACTGGCAGATGGTTATGTATAGCTACTGATAGATTCCTCCACATGCTTTGAGGGAGCGATTTCCTTCAAATTTCTCCCCATAAATGAAATTATCTGCCCTGGGTATGAATTAGTCTAAGGTGTAGCATACCGAATATCTCAAACGCAAGCAATACTCTCACTAGACCTACCACTCCAAATAGTATTACTTCGAATCTTGTTATCCATCTCATCGCTTTGACCTATATTAATGCCATTCTGTGTATGATCCGGGGCGGCCTCTTTATCCAATTTCCTACCTCTTATGTTTCTTTTTAACCTGCTTTACTTCCTTTAGTCTTCATCTTTTAGCTTAATTTGCTCGTCACATAAGTCCTCCTTCGCCTCATCTACCACTACTAATGTATCCGCCACTCACCTGCACCCGTGTGCGTAACATACTACATCTTTTAAATACCCTTCATTCTGACCCAATCCTTGGGAGCCCTGCATTCCTTGCGGTCCGACCTCTAGACTCGTTCTTAGTCATCCCTCCAGTTCACATACACCTCATCCGTGCGGAACTTCTGCGAACAAACCGTGTCCCACAACTCGTTCGTCTGCCCCATACGATACGCTAGCAACCCCGCGTGCGCAATCATAATCCCGTTGTCAATACAAAAACGCTCGTCGGTGGCAAAAACGCTCCCGTTACGGTCTTGCACCATCTGTGCCATCATCTGCTGTAAACGCTCATTGGAGCCAACACCGCCAACAATCAACACCTGTTGCAGCTGTACGTGTGCCATCGCGCGCTCGGTAATCTCCACCAACATTGCGTAGAGGCACTCCTGCAACGAGAAGCACAAGTCCTCAGGCGTCACACTACTACCGTCCGCCGCCACCAAGAGTTTGTTTTTGTTCCCCGCAAACATGTCACCCGCAAGCGAGTCGATGAATGCAAGAATCCCCGACATGCTCAAGTCCATTCCCTTGACAGTGTACGGGAGCTCCACGAAATTCTTGCCCCGCTTCGCCATCTGCTCGATGTTGTAGCCCGGGAAGGGGTCATTGGGGATCTTGAGTGTGCGCGCGAAACGGTCAAGACAATTACCGATTGCAATGTCCAAGGTCTCGCCGAAGATGCGATAGTGGTTTTTGGAGTATGCAATCACCTGCGTATTCCCACCGGAAACGTACAACACCACGGGGTTCTGTGCACCGGTAATTTCACGGCCCATCTCGATGTGTCCCACACAGTGGTTGACCCCAACAAGCGGCACGTCCCAAAGCTGGGCGATAGTACGCGCGGCAATCACCACCGCCTGGAGCGGCGCGCCCATGCCTGGGCCCTGGGTGAAGCAGATGCAGTCGAGGTCGCGCCCCACAAGGCCTGCCACCGCAAGCGCATCTTTGAGCACCCGCACAACCCAGTTACGGTGGTGACGCGCGGTATCACGTGGCAAGAAGCCTTCGCCTGGTGGCGAGATGTATGTGTCGCGCACGTTCGACAAGACCTCCGCGCGGTTGGTTGCGGTGAGCTCGCCTTTCGGGTGTTTGATGATGCCGATCCCGAGCTTGTTCGCAGAGCCTTCGAGGCCGAGGGCAAGGTAGTAGTCCCGGGAAGGTTTTATGTGTTTGTCCAAGTTGATCATGAGGGAAGGTTGTTGAGAAAGAAATAGGAAAATGGCTTAATGGGGTTGAGGTGAGATTGAAAAATCGTCGGGGCGTGCAGGTCTGCGCCGCTCGGGAAGAGGCGCGACGTGCAGATGGGTTTTTTAGTGCTCAGAAACTGACAGGTGCAATCCATTTTATTGGAACCGTCCAGCTCTATTCTGGTATTCAATATTAATTACTGTTTTGAAGAACTCTGGGAGTATAAAATATAGTCCTTTTCCAGTGCTAACACCGTATTCTAGTGTATCCCGAGCAGACCAACTTAAAGGCTGACAAAACAATAGCGACTACGATCGTCATATTTAGTTCCCTTGACCACCGAAGATTTTACCCAAAAGATGGAAAGGATTGAGGCGGAATGACTGTCTTAATTCTGGAACTTTCGTACCCATACGTCCTGCTAGCCTGTTATGACGGCATTTTGCTAATGAGACCTCAGTCACGTGACTACACATGCAGCTTTTGATAGCTTCATGTCTCAAAATGGAGAGTGACCAGCATAAATAGACCTAGCCCTTATCTCTACTAGATTACCTCATCCCACCCTGTACCACCTTTCCTATGCTACCCAAACCATTAGATATAGAAAACGAAGTCCGTCCCAGTGAGGACTCGGTCAAGCCCAGCAGTGTCACTACCGCCCCGTCAAAGTACCCCTCAGCGAATGCCCCCACTCTTACAGAGACTGTGCTCGACAATGTCCCTGAGAGCAGCGGTGTCGGAGCCCCTGGATTTCTTTTCTACAACTATCACGAGTATGCCACTTCGTTCTATGCCACCAAGGCTGAACGGGCACTGATGCGCTCCAAAGCGCTTATCGTGACACACTTTCCCAACGGATACGTCCCCCTAGGCTCAGAAAAGTTCGTATCCACCCGGGTTGTGCGGATCCCGAGGGTTTACCCGGTTACAGGCGAGACTTTTCCCCAGTTTCTGACGCTATTGCCGGGAAGCGAGGAAGCGGCGCTATTGGATCCGGCAGACTTAAAGTTGGGAGCTAAAGGTGTGGTTCCGTTTACGGTAAGGGGCGAATATCAGGGGCAGTTATTCGGGTATTCTTCGGTATCCCCGTTGAGTAACCATCTCCTGGCGAAAGCTTTCACCGAGATTGTTCAAGAGATCAACCAATATTTCCGCAAAGGGTACAACGGTTTTGCTGGCCAAAACGTGCTCCATAACGTGTTGGATCTAATTACTATGGGGGTGTCCTCGTTGTTTACAAAAGGGAACCTGAAGATGGTACTTGCTGAGATGGAGAAGTATGTGGAAACGACAAATGAGCGATTGCGACCGTTGGGGGTCGAGATTATGAGTCCCAGAAGATCTGGGTATCTATCGGTATGTTCAGAATTCGAGGTTTGGCGGATATGGAAACTAACAGTATAGCTTGATTTTGTTGTGCCCGTACCTAGGTGGTAAAGTGCCGAATCTTTTGGTGCTTCTGGGTTACTATTATTTAACTAAACCTAGTTACGGCGTGATTAGTGCCTTGGCTAATTCCCCAGTATGACATTTCATGAATTGGTTGATTCTCTGGCCAAGTATCCCAGGAACTCTCGTCTACAGTCTGATGGTTCTATCGGGAATCTGAAAATCGAAACACAGGATTCCAAAATCTCGGTACAAGACCTAAAATGCCGTTTTCCATGCTGGATAGAGATTGTATCCGATTTAACATTCCAGCTATGGGATAGCATAGACCTAAAGCTTGGAGGTGTAAACAGTTGGGCGTCTGCTGCCACTTTCCATCGAAATTACATATATATGATAACATTTACGTGCTTAATGTCGAGCACAACCATCCAAATGTACCCTAACGCGATATTATGGTATAAATAATTCCAGCCTTGCAGTGACCACCCACTAGATCTAGAGCTATTTCTATGCTTTGTTATTTGTAAACCCCCAGTTGGAGAACCAGCGTGCTGAAAATTTAAAAATAGATACCAGTATTCTGTTTATGCAGCGGTATCAGTTATAATTGGTGCTCAATGAGATAATAGGCAATACGACAACTCCCTCCCGGCTTTACTACCGTATGCAGCAGTAAATAACCGTAACCTGCATTTATGCGATATATCCTTCTACATGCACCAAACTTAAGCTGCGGCCCACAGCGTCGGGATAGCTCCTTTCTTAAACACTTCTCCCTTTGCGACTTTTCTTTCACTTAAGCACTGACAATGCTGCCCCCCTCTGAGCAAGCCATTGCGGCGCACCAACGCCTGAGGAGCCTCCTCTTCTTCAACCACCTCTCCCGTGTCTCTCCTGGTTCGACTCCAACCGGATTAGTCTTCAACCTCACCGACGGTTCATTCGTAAAAGCAGCGCAGTTACTTGGGGTCGACTCAAGCGAAGGCAAGTTTGCTTGTAAAGACGTCACGATTTGGAATACTGCTGGCGGAGAGGTGAGCATCGGCAAGCCGGTCGTTCTCAGAGGTGACGATATCAAATGCTTTAGTGTTTCTGTGCTGAAAAAAGGCGACCTTTCCACCAAAAATACTACGGTTGAGTTGGACTATTAGCTGTTAAAGAATGTCAGGCTCCACAGGGATACAAGTGGCCTGAAGTTATCCAGAGCTGGCTCGCTGATGAAGGACCTATGTTTATAGGCTCTTGTAAGGTGTAACAGATGTCTGCTTAGTACTCTCACAGACTTGGGATCGATCCAAAGTTGTCTCTGAGCTACGGAAGTGACGACACGCAGCTGCTGGCACAGCGTGAATGAAATATCCAATTTATTAAGAGGCGAATTTCATAAGGTGTAGGCTTTAGTACCGTTTTCAAGAGTGACACAACCTTCAGGTATAGCTAGGGAAAGTAACCACAAACTTTTACCATCCACCCATTCTCCACCCCACTTATCGAAACTCCCTATTTTCTGTAATAACTATAGAACTTTTTTTCCTTTTAGATATAGTCTACACTGCATCCGGGCAGTATTGAAATTACCAGTAGCTGTGGCTATATATTTACCAATTCTTTTTCCTATCTTACGGGCGTGTGGCGTAGTTGGTAGCGCGTTCGCTTAGCATGTGAAAGGTCTCGGGTTCGACTCCTGACTCGTCCATTTATTCTTTTTGTTAGCGGTTTTATTATACATATTCCATAGATTTAACCTCTTTAAACCCTTGCTTCTAGCTTACCCTAAGCTTCTCATAATGTTGAAAGATAAGTCTGTGCACGATATTACCTGGCACGTACATGCAGCGAGATTTGAAGTTCATGGCTCAATAAATAGCCATGGTACGCCTACCCTTGCACCCAGCATCTAATCTGTGCGAGTTCTCCGAGGGCCGGGAAATTGCCTTATATAACCCACACAGGTTCTATCTGCCGATACACTATCCAAAAGCTTCCCGCCTGAGGCAGAAGCAACAATCTTCTACAATAATTTGCAGTATTAACTTGTATAACTGGGGTAAAGGATGTACACATAGGACGAATATTAAGAAATTTGTATAAGGAATAAAAATATAACACGAGAAGAGGATCTTTGCTTGGTGTCCCCCGGTCAGCACGTAGAGATTAATGAAACTGGAAGGTTCTCGCCTAGGCTTTCTTACCGAAGGAGAACTTCTTGACACGAAAGAGCCAGTAGGTGAGCACCATGGCAAAGATGTTGAAAAAAATGTAAACCCAGAGCAAACCAAAGTTTCTCCAGAGCTGTCCAAAGTTTGTGTTGATAGATTTCAAGTACTCGTCACCAGACTTATAGCTACAGTAGCCACAGTTAGAGGTGGCATCTGGATTGCTCAAGTAACCAGAGTTGTTAGTGACGTAGATACCAGCGTATTCCTGACAGGTTTGGCCGTCTGGCGGGTTAAAGTAAGCCATCTCGACAGAGGAGCAGTTGACCTTTCTGTCACGCAACACCAACATCACAAAGCTCGCAACAAAATAGGTGTAAGGGGAAACATGGTACATCCACTTCCACCAGCCCATCAACTTGAACGGTTGCATGACACCACAGAAGGAAATCATGAAGGTGAAACATAAGGCGGAGATGACATTGGCAGATGGCAAATCGGGAGAAATGTATATCACAAGCAAGCCAAACGATACGTAGTACAACTGGAAGAGGATGGAGTAATTCAAGAAGTAGTTACCAGCAAAGAGCGCGCTGTTATTGATTCTCAATGGGAAGTATAAGCAGCAGAAGAATACAGTGGAGCCGATGATGCAGTACGGGAGCTCAGTGATGAACTGTGAAAGCAACAACGTGGACCAGTGGTAGGTGTTGGACTTACTTTCTCTCACTTCAAACAACTCTCTCGAGGCGTAGGCACGGCCCTGGATCTGATTAATCAACGGTGTGGAGGTCACGACGGACAAGAACGCAACAAAGACGGCGTTTTGCATACCGGTCAAGGTGTTCTTGAGCGCCCAGAACGTGAAGCCGATAAATAAACCAGGGAAAATCATCAACACAAGCTTAGACATGATGTAGTTTGGCGATCTCCAGAATTGGGTCATGGTTCTACCAAGCACTGTCCTCAACTGCACGAGGTAAGGAGCGGCATAGGTGCTGTTCAACTGCTCGGTAGGGGTCTGGGAGACAATCTGGGAAGTTTCCTGAATCAACTTGGAAATGGTTTCGGTGGTATCAGCATATTCTGGCGAGGAGACCCACTTGTCGAACCAATCTTCGTGCACAGAGGCGGTAGCACCGGCCCCAATAGATTCCAAAATATACTCAGCTGGGTTCTCCGAGTGCCCACATTTCCGGGCACCGTTTCTCTCAAAATAGTCCAAGAGGGCATGGGAGTGCTTGCCGATATCACCAAAGTAGACAGTCTGGCCGCCCTTCTTCAAGAGCAAAAGACGATCAAACTCCTCGAACAAGGTGGCCGACGGCTGGTGGATGGTACACAAAATGGCCTGCCCGGCGTAGGCCAAGTCGCGCATAAGCTTGACAATAGCCCAGGCGGACTGCGAATCCAAGCCGGAAGTTGGCTCGTCCAAAAACAACAACAAAGAGGGCTTGGCAACTAACTCGACGCCGATAGACAACTTCTTTCTCTGTTCGACGTTTAACCCGTAACCGACGTCACCGACGATGGCATCGGCGTAGTTGGTCATGCCCAAAATCTCGATGATCCTCTCGACATAGTCAAACTTTTCCTCATCGGAGACAGAGGTTGGACGGCGCAACTTGGCAGAGAAACGGAGCGACTCGCGCACAGTGGACTCAGATACGTGCAAATCTTGCTGCTGCACGTAACCGGTTCTTCTTTGGAAAGAGTTGTCGATCGGCTTACCATTCACAAGCATGTCACCGGTAATGACTCCCATGTCGACTCTCTGGGATAAGACGTTCAACAAAGTAGTTTTACCGGCACCGGATTCACCCATCAACGCAGTCAAGGTACCTGGCTTAACGTAGCCCTGAACACTGTCCAAAAGCTTACGCTTTTCGCCCTTGATGTCGATCACGTAGTCAACATTCTGCCACATAAACACGTCCTCGCCACCCAAGTCTTCAAAGACCTTTCTGGCGCCGGTGGAGATTCTCTGCGGAGCGTTATCAAACATGGCAATTTCACCGTTTTCCACGTCACTGGTCTTCTTGGTAGCAGACATAATCATCACGGTGTCCTTGGACGTACCCTTCTTGAACATTAATCTATCACCACCGCCCTTCATCGAACTCTTGTATTCGGTCGCAAGAATCTGTAACGACGTGAAAAAGATCCAAAACCCGATAAGAATACCCAAGTTTCTCCAAACATGCGAGTAGCTGTACTGGTAGTTGACCTCCATGTAGGTGTCACCGGAAACCCAGGACTGACCTGCTACGGAGCCCTTGAAAGCACACGACTTGTAGGCAGACGAGGTGTTGGTGTACTCACCGCCGCTAGGAACAAGCGAAGAGCCACAGTCCAATTTCCTGTCATGGAACTCGTTGGTGATAATGGACTCGAAGGCGTAGAACAACGGGTTGATGTAGGTGATCCACTTGAACCACGGATGCATCGACGGTTTTTGGATCATGAACGACGTGTACATCAACGTCATCAAGATACTGCAACCTGCAACGGCGTTGGCACCGGCAAATGTCTGGTTGAACTCGGCAACCATCTGGAAGAACGATGACATGGTCAACGTGGAGACCACGATGAACAACAAGAAAATGAAGAACTTGGCTGCGTCGACAGCAAGGTTGGTCAAGAAGTAGTAGATGATGGCGAAGAAAATGATGGTGATAAGATTGGTGGGGAAGTCGGTCAACACCGAGGAGAAGGCTTCGGCAGACGGGTGGTAGAATGAGTACGATTTCTGTTTCTGGATAATCGGTCTCTTGGCGAAACAGTTGGCCATTTCGGCGATACCCATAAAGGCAAAGTACAAACAGGCAAAGAAAAGGACACCACTGCGGGAAAACGCACCAGAAGTCCCCTCAGGTGTCTTCCAGTACAAGGACCCGGTAATCAACGACTGGATGATGGCAGCCGCCACCTGGGTGATGGTGTAGGCCTTGTCACCCCAGTTACGCTGGAACCCCCGGACGGTTAACAAACGCAATTGTGCCAAGTAGGTTAAGGTGAATTGAGACTTGGCTCTGTTGTGCTTCATCTTCTCCTGCTTCTGCGCTGCGTGCAACACGCGCTTGACCTCATCGGCATTGATGTTGGCGTTGTGAACGGCAATGTCACCGGTCAACTTGGCGTAGTTGCGGGACTCTTGCCAGTACCTCTCAAACTCCTCAGCAGTGTGTGGCACGCGCTTTTCGTACCCGGGCTTGGCGAACCTCCCGATGGGGTCGGTAATGGCGGTGAGGAACTCGGCAGTAGACTGTCTTGGGGGGCACTGGAAGCCCATGTCCTCAAAGTACTTCTTGGCCTCGGTCACTGGCCCGTAATAAACCTGTCTCCCGGCGTACAACACCATGGCCTTGTCAAACAATTCGTAAATCAGCTCACTGGCCTGATAGGCGGTTACAAACGCAACCGACTTGAGCAAGTTGGTGGAAGTTCTGATCGCCTGGGCAAACTCCAACGCAGTAGAGGCATCCAACCCTCTGGTAGCATTGTCCCAGCAGTAGACAGAACCTCTGGCAGCGAGGGCCTCGGCGATGGACACCCTTTTTCTCTCACCACCGGACACACCCCGTACTAAGTCGTTACCAACTTTGGTGTTGTAGGTATGGCGCAACCCGAACACGGTCGCAAGGAGGTCGCGCATCGCAGTGATAAACTTCTCACGGCTCACGTTATTGACACGGAGCTCTGGAGTCTTACATGCGATGGCGAAGCGCAAAGTCTGGTCTACGGTCAAATGTGGGAAGTGGTTTTCCAACTCAGGATTGTAGATCAAGTCGGACTTAAAGTCGCGCAACATGTCAGCCTGCGGAATTCCGTCGTACAACACATTGCCGGACGTATGGGTAAACAGGGAGATCTCTCCCCCAATGGTCTTGAGGAAGGACGAACATCCGGCGCCCGGACGCCCGAGAACAAGTACCATCTCACCACTATGGGCCAACCCAGCCATTTCGTGGAGAATCTTGCGTTCCGGGGTTCTGCGGTTCTTAATCTGCTCGATGATCGTGCTAGGGAGGTTGAGGATGTTTCCTACCGTTGAGGCAAAGGAGACGGACTCGTCAATCCCGTAAGCAGCCACATCGGTGAAGGCGACGCTGGAGGAGCGGAGCTGGATTCCCTGTGAGTACGCGCGCTTCACAAACAAGGAAAGAATGAACTGCAAGCTAAAGTCTTCAGGGTTGATCACAATTGGCTGGTCTCTCGTAGTGTGATGAGATAATTGCTTGGTGTAGCTGGCCAAACGCTCCACAGCCGCAAGGTTGGTCATGATCCGGGTGGCTTCGTGTCTGACATGCGGGTCGGCGACGAAATCGTGCTCCAACGAGTCAGAGTCTGAAAGCGGGCTCTCCGAGGGTTTTTTAGCAGAGCCATTGTACTTCTCAGCCTCTTCCATATCACTGGATGTATTGTTGGGACTAGACATTGCTCTTGATGGTGCATGCAAAACTACGTTGTGTTACGCGGGACAAGGACTCTATATACGCTTCAGAGTTGGCTTAAAAAAGAGAAATAGGGTGGGAAGTGATATCAGCTGAAATAGGAAATCATTGTCTTAAGAAGGTTATTACTAATACTTGAGAGCATTTATGTTAGGAATTCAGAAAAAGAAACCTACTGCAATCTTGGGGTATATTGTGAGAGACGTTAGGGCGTTGGCCCTGGCTGGGTAAAAACGGTCGGTCCAGCCTGCAGCGTCTTGCATGTATCCGCTCCGAAAGTGTGCTTAACACCGATGATTTTCCGACAGATACTCAGATTAGATTCTTCCGCAGTCGGCACAAGGCTTAGACCGTCATCACTACGCCATTAGTAACCTCTCAGTATGCCCATGCGCCTTATATTTTGACTGTGGTCTCTAACCGTTGCAAAAATTTGATCCCAGAGGCATTCGTGTTAATTCCGAAGGTTGACCAAAAGCGTTTGAACCGTAGAGAGCTTGCACCATATACTAGTTACTCGGACTCGGGATGGAGTTCTCTCCGAGGTACTTCGTACCAATTCACCACGTAAAGGTTAGTTCGAGTCAATGTATACAAAACGTCAACGCTCCAGACATAAGAATTGGTTGGCGATTTGCAACACGGCCTCAGCCAGCTGCTATACAACATATCCCGGTGACGTAGATATAATTTTTTGTGGATAAATAAGTATAAAGAGCCCAATCATGGATTGCTCACCCTGCTACCATCAGCGGAAATGTTTTAGGCTTCTGTATGATAATCGGTTGCAGATGCATAGTCAGTGAGTGGCTACTCTTTGGTACACGTCGACAGTATTTGCACCAAGGCACCATCGGCTTAAAATAGGGTTTAAGTAACGCGTATCAAAGTATGGGGTTGCCTTGCTGTCGAAATTGATGAAATACTCCTTATATAGATTAAGTAATATGCTTAATTTCCTCGTAGATCCCCAACCAGAGTAGAACGTGTCAGGTCCGGGTGGCATGAGCATGTTTTTCTATTGCATGATCGCTCACGTACGAGAGAGTTCGAACCACTGTTTTCCATTTGTAAAGCCCATCTAACGGAAAGCAGGATAGCTTTTCCTTGCCCCGAGACCTGTTCCGACCCTGATGTCGCACCTTCTGTAATATAAGGCTCTTGATGAACGTTGACACTAGTTTTCCCTGTGAGTGTGTATCCTTGGACGGTTCATGTTTGGCGGTGCAAAGAATAAAATTCTGCCTTAATCGTCTGGATGGTACAACTATCAACTGGCATATCAGTCTGGGAAGCTGCAATTGTCAATGAGCACTCAAGTTATTATACTAGTTGTAACGGCAACTTTTTTTAGAGCCTACCCTCGCCATTATTTCGGGAGTGGTCCAAACGCAGACATGTAGTGGGGTAGTCACATCTATCTGCTTGATTGATGGATTCCATTTTCTTAACTGTCTACGCAGCTATCACGGGAGGCGACATTCTACGGAGCTGGAGGTTATGCCATACTGTTTATTATCTTAAATTTGTCTAAGCTGCAAGGTATTTAATTCTTGTGGAAGTGATTTATGATCTTATCCTCAATCTGCCCCGCATATTTCGACCCTATCATGGACCCGGCAATCGACCCGAAACGGTTGCCGTCTGACAAGTCTGAGCCAAGATCCCCACCAATAACAGCACCAGCAATCGAGCCGATCAAGCCTCTATCCCCTGTTTCGCCTTCCTGCGCGGTGGCGGCGCCATTTTCAGGCTCGACCTTCTTGTTTTCTTCGGCAGGCTTGTATTCGGAGTTGTCTCCTGTTTGGAAAAATTCGTTAGCGGACATTCTGTAATGGATGTTTAGTTGGAAAGGGAGTTGGAGAGTCTAGATGAAGCAAAATTGATATACAGTTGAAATGTGGCAGGCATATCTGGTCTCTTTCCATGCGTACATGATTGCTACCGTACAGGGATTCCATGCAGTATCAGCCTAGTGTACCGAGGGCTTTAATGCAGGTTATTGATCACATGAAATTCGATACAATGGAAAGTGTTTCGAAGGATGTAATAACGAATAGTTACGCTATTTTTTAGTTTGAATAGCGACGGGATACCTAAGGGAAAATTCATAATAACGAAAATTTTATAAATAGTTACAACTCTAATATAAAGTGTTAATCTATAAGCCTAATCTTTAAATTGTATAAGGGTTATTGCATATGTATACTTTTTTATACTCAAAACTATCTCTAGATGGTATATGTGATGTTAATTCCAAGGGATTTCACAATCAACATAATGTGAATACATTTGTTTTAATTGCAAGGATATGTACTACCATGTCAACATTTTCTTTATCTCTGCCACGTTATCAGGCGTAGTATTCTGCAACTATATACACCTCCTATATACGCCTATATATTTTCTCCTTGTATATATTCTACGCCACTACTTCTCCTGCACGTGCCCAAGACTACACACGTGTAGTTTCCAGCACTAACAAGCGCGCCTAAGAAAAAAAACCTCAGCGTTACTGTTTTGATGGCGTAATCGTGAAAAATCCGGCCGAGAGCGCATCGAGAACCTTCCACAAACACCATATAATCGATACCCTTGTTCCACACAAACATCTAGCTCTATCCCCCACACACATCACAATGAATAGCACTCCCACTGTCGTTGTCTTAAAGGAAGGTACTGATGCCTCTCAAGGCAGAGGCCAGATCATCTCCAACATCAATGCCTGCTTGGCCATCCAGGACACATTGAAGCCGACCTTGGGTCCGTTGGGGTCGGACATCTTGATTGTCAACTCCCGTGAGGAGGTAACCATCACCAATGATGGGGCCACCATCCTAAAATTGTTGGACGTGGTTCATCCTGCGGCCAAGATTTTGGTGGATATTGCGAGAGCGCAGGACGCTGAGGTCGGTGACGGGACCACCACCGTAACGCTTTTGGCGTCTGAGTTGTTGAAGGAGTCCAAGCAGTTCATCGAGGAGAACATTTCCTCGCACATCATCGTCAAGGGTTACCGCAGAGCTGTGCAGTTGGCGATCGAGCAAATCAAGGCGTTGCAGTACTCTGTGCCAGAGAAGAAGGACACCCACGACGCCGACTTCAAGCAGTTGTTGAAGCAGTGCGCCTCCACCGCGATGTCTTCGAAGATCATCAACTCCAACGCGGCGTTCTTTACCGACATGGTGGTTGACGCGGTGCTCACCCTCGGGCCGCACTTTAACCCCGCCATGGTGGGCTGGAAAACGATTCCCGGTGGCGGCATGACCGAGACCAGATTGGTCAAGGGGGTGGCCTTCAAGAAGACCTTCTCGTACGCCGGCTTTGAGCAGCAACCAAAGTACTTCACCAACCCAAAGGTAGTGTGCTTAAATGTTGAATTAGAGTTGAAGGCCGAGAAGGACAACGCCGAGATCCGTTTGGAGAAGGTTTCTGACTATCAGAACATTGTGGATGCCGAATGGACCTTGATCTTCCAGAAGTTGGAGAAGATTGTTGAGAGTGGTGCGCAGGTTGTGTTGTCCCAGTTGCCTATCGGCGACTTGGCCACCCAGTACTTTGCTGACCGCGGCATTTTCTGTGCTGGCCGTGTGCCATCCCAGGACATGCAGAGATTGTCTACCGCGCTCGATGTTAACATCCACTCCACCGTCTCCTCCGTTACCCCAGAGGACTGCGGTGTCTGCGGCCTGTTCCAGGAAACCCAGATCGGTGCCGAACGCTACAACTTGTTCACCGACATCCCCGACACAACTACCGTCACCTTCTTGATGAGAGGAGGTGCTGCCCAGCAGATTGCCGAGTTGGAGAGATCCCTCAACGACGCCTTGCAGGTGGTCAAGAGAACCTTGTCCAACTCTGCGGTCGTTGCGGGCGGTGGTGCTATCGAGATGGAGTTGTCCAAGCACATCAGAGACTTTGCCAAGACCATTCCGGGCAAGCAGCAGTTGATCATGATCGCTTTTGCCAGAGCGTTAGAGGTGATTCCAAGAACCTTGGCCGACAATGCCGGGTTAGACAGCACCGAGATCTTGAACAAGTTGAGATCGCACCACGCCAAGGGCGACAAGTGGTTCGGTGTCGATTTGAGCGACGATGCTAACTACGATGCTGTTTCTGTTGGCGATTTGATGGAGAAGTGTGTCTGGGAGCCAGCTATGAGTAAGATTAACTCCTTGAGCGGTGCCGTCGAGGCCGCCTGTTTAATCTTGTCTGTTGATGAGACTGTCAAGAACCAGTCCAGAGATAACCCGAACGCTGCCATGGCCCAGCAGATGGCTGGCAGGGGCAGAGGCATGCCACAATAGAGAGTTGAGCACCTGTATACTAGTCAGTCCATATAAGTCGTATTCGATATAAATTTACGTTAATCGTTTGTAGATATGGTGCTATGTTTGGTTTAGAGATATTCGTGGTCACCAAAGGCTTAATGAGGGCTATTGGATTTGAGCCCACGAGATATGAAAATATCTAGATATTGATTGTCAGGTGTATTTTTCCTGATAATATTTTTACGGCAAGTGTTCGCAAGCTTATAATTTGACGGGATGGACAATTCATGTCAAGAGTTCAAAAAACTGAGATCTACCCTGGGGAAGCTAAACCAGGAGGAACAAGGCACACGCTAGCAAAATCAAGCTTTGACACAAAAGCGGCTAAAGCATTCAGTCTCCACGATGAAAGCAATACGGTTCTGCCATGTTTCATTTTCCCATTACTTTTCTTTCGGGCTGGCAAGCCTCTTCCAAAACAGGTCGTTCACTAACCTACTTTCTGGTGACGCCACGCTCCCCGCCGTTAGGAAACCTTCTCATGTAACTTTGTAAGCAAATTTCCTACGTGGAGAAACGGTTACGTGCAGGGGTCAGGTGGGAGGCGGCGACGGGATCTTCTTCCACACGCTGGGGCCGCATCCTAGTCTCTTTCTGTAATTTGATCTCAAAGTATCAGACATCTTGCTTGAAGTGCATGCCAAAAAGTTTGCATTTTCTTCTCCCGGAATATTCACTTATTCGTGCTGCTTCGCAACTCCTTCGTGTGACAACCTGCCTAGACCCGCACATACTGTAGGGATTGACCCAAGAGACTACACGGCCGCCCCCTTTCAAATTCGCTATCTATTACCTTACAGAGTGGATATCCCTATATTT